AATGTCCATCAGAAGTTATTTAATACACAATGGGGATCCATTGAAGGTTTCTGAGGGGAGGAGTAGTATGAACCAATATTGGTTCATTAGAAAGATTATATGGTTAGCTACATGAAGGATAGTCTGGAGAAAGGGTAGTCTATAGAAGCAAGAAGTCCTGGGCAGATGATATTAAATAGTCCAGTTTAAAAGAGATGCAGGCCCAGACTAGCATTGTCATAGTAGGAATGGGAAGGAAAGACTGGGTGTGAATGATATTAGAGAGGTAGAAACAACAGGACTCGAAAATATAGGATCTGTGGTTTGAGAAAGAGAAGAATGACTCCTAGATCGAGAGCCTTGAGGGCCGGGGAAATGATGGCACCTTTAACTGAAGTCAGTGTTGGGGTAAGGGAACGAATTCATAGAATCCTATTCAGTTGGGGTCAGTGGGGACAGAATCAATCAATCAATTAACCAACGTTTATTAAGTGCCTTGCCATATGTCAGGAGCTGCTAGATGCTGGGGTTAAAAATACAAAAAAGGAAACAATCTCTACACTCAAGCAACTCCCATTCTAATATCAGAACATAGAATGGTGGAGCTGGAAGAGACTTTAGAGAGAATCCAGTCGAAGCCCCTTTTCTTCCCTCCTCCAGAAACAGCCTGGAGAAGGGAAATGACTTTTCCAAGGATGCCCATATACCTGCTTTGCAGCAGAAATAGGATTAGAAGCCAGGGCTCTTGACTCCCATTTGAAAAGTGGTTCTACTTCACTGCACCTGCCTCAAGAATTAAAGGGGAGAAACAAATGAGATAAAAGAAGGACTATATCTGTGGTTTTGCTGGCCTAGGGAACTGCTGTCAGTGGAGATCATCACCTTCTCTCCAGCTTCGAATCTGAGAGGTTAAGTCATTTATCCAGGGTCACACAGCTCAGTCAGTGGCAGAGTCAGGGCTGGAATCCAGGCCTTCCTGGCTCAGGGGCTGCTTCTCCATTCACTATGCTAGGCTGCTTCTGATGGGAAAGAAAATGAACTGGTGACTTTTTCATCTGAATTTTGTGAGCATGATGATCTTGCTATTTTCCTAAATTCAGCTCAACATCTTACAATGAAACTCTTTCTCCCCTCCATATTCAAGAATCATTTCCCAGCAACCAAAAACATTTTTCTCCCAAACAAACTGAAAAAAGTCCCTCACATGTCACAAAAGGCCCTTCTTACAAACCCATTTATGTCAAACTTCCTTCTGACTATTAGAGGGGTAATTACATTTTCACTGGCCCCTAATTTGTTATTTCACTGAGGCTCAAAGCAGTACAAATTTACCTCTAGTCAATTAGCTTTCTAAACTCATAGCCCTTTATGAAAGTTCAGAAGAGAAATGGATTTTAAGGTGGTTACTCCTCATCACTAAACACTGGGGCTGATGGGTAAATTCATGTGTTAGGGTTTATGATCTGGAGACCAGACCACAGAAGGTAACAAATGGGGACAAGTCTTTCTTTTTCACTTGGGTAACAAAAGAAAGAGCAGACACAGCCCAGGGTGGGATGGAACAAAGTCAATAAATAGCCCCAGGGAAAAATGAGGAGGAAGAAGGAAAGATCATTGGGATCAGAAAGAAGTTCTCTGATTGACCCATGTCTAGAAAGGCCAGTCTTGGGCAGGCAAAGGACATTTCAAAGGCCAACATCTGTTTCAGCAGCAGCTCAACAAGACCCAAAGACAGAGCAGGCAGTGAGAAAAGTGTCCTTCTGCCCTTTAGAAGGATACGGCAAGGGAGCTGAAGATGATGACATCAACACTAGCAGAGAGATGTGGGCTGACCTTCCAAGCACAATGGGCCACTGTCAAGAAGGCACCTCTGTGGACTAAACCAGCTGCCCACTCCTGGCTTCTCTGTGGGTCCTGCCCCAGTTGCAGAGAAGGCAGATAAGATGTGACCAGGTTCCAAAATCCAAAAAAAGTGGCCCACTAAGGTGCACGAAAAGTCATGCTGGGAACTTGGAAGAAATAGAATCACGCCTTAGAAATGGAAGAAGCATTAGAAGTCATCTTGTCCAAACCCTTTGTGGTGCAGAGGGATAGAATAAGACCCAGGACGTGGAAGTGATTTGGCTAAGGTCACATGGGCAGTTGATTGCAGACCGAGGTCTATAATCAAAGTTTCCTCTTTTTAACACCTATATTCCTTCCACTATACCATAAATAGCAGATGACTATGTATCTATGTAGATGACTCCCAGATCTAGATATCCAGCCTTCTCCAGTCATGTCTCTCTGCTTGCTGAGCATCTCTCCTAGATGTGTGGTAGGCACCTGTAACTCAACATATTTAAAACAAAATTCTTTTCCCCTAAATCTATCATGTAGAAGGCATCACCATCCTTCCCCATACCCAAGTTCACAACTTTAGAGTCATTGTTTACTATTTTCTCAACTGCCCACATTCAATCAGTTGCCAACTCTTGCTGTTTCTACTACCACAATATCTCTCACATCTCCAATAATATGATGATCACCACAGTTTGTGGGTCCTCATCACCTCTTTTCTGGGCTACTACAGCAGCCTCCTAATCAGTCCCTCTGCTTCCAGGTGCTCCATTTTCCAATTCCTCCTTAATCCAGTTGCCACAACCTTCTTCCTAAGGCAGAGGTCTAACCATATTGCTGCCCTACTCAAAAATCGTAGTGGTTCCATATTGTTTCTGGGATAAATAAATCAACAAACATTTATTAAGTGCCTACTTGTGCCAGCATTGGAGATATAAAGAAAGATCTCCAGGCATAGGGGACAACCAGCAAAAATATTCAATCAGGAGATGGAGTGTCTTGTTTAGAAGAACAGTACGAAAGCCAGTGTCACTGGATCTCAGAGTATGTGGATGGGATTAAGGTGTAAAAAGACTGGAAAGAGGCCAGCTTATGCAGGGCTTTAAAAGTCAGAGGAGTTTACATGTGTTCCTAGAGTTAACAGGGAATCATTGGAGTTTATTAAATAGAGGAGTGATATGGACAGAGCTGCACCTTAAGAAGTTCAGTTTGACAATTGAATGGAAGATGGCCAGGAGTGAGGAGAGACTTAAGGCAGGGAGACTGATGGTTGATCTATAGCTTTTGCAATAGTCCAGGTGTGAGATGATGAGGGCCTGTACCAGGGGGGTTACAGTGTCAGAGGAGAAAAGGGTGAGCCTATGAGAAATGTCATGAAGGTAGAAATGACAGGGCTTGACAACTGATTGGGTGCAGGAGAGAGTAAGAGTCTAGGACTATACATAGGTTGTGAGCCTGGGTAACTACGGGAATGGTGGTACCTTGGACAGCAATAGGGACAGTAACAGGAAGAAGAAAGGGTTTTGGGGAAAAGATAATGAGATACATTTTGGACATGTTGCATTTAAGATGTCTTGAGAACATCCTCTTCAAGATGTCTTATAACAGTTGGAGGTATGAGACTGGAAGTTGAGGGCAAATTAGGACTGGACAAGTAGATCTGTCAGTCATCTGTATAAAAAAAAAATTAAAGCCATGGGAGCTAATGAGATCATCAAGTGAAATAGTATAGAGGAAGAACAAAGAGAGTCTGGGACAGAGTCATAGGGAACCCCTGAGGACAAAATATAAACTTTCCAGCCTAGCATCGAAAGCCCTTTGCAATCTGTGCAGCCTTGTCATTTTACAGATGGGCAAACTGATACCTGGAAAGTAAAGTAAGTTGCCCATTATGACAGAAGGAGGTGATCTTGATAAAACCTCATAGCATGCAGGGTTTTTGAGTTAATGAAGTCATAGCAAATAAGAAATCTTATTCCAGCCGCACAATAGCCCCATGAGGACAACAAGAGAAGGTATTTTTGTCATCAGTTCACATACAAATGATGCTTAGTGAGGTAAAGTACTTGTCTCGGGGCATGCAGGTAATACACAACATAGCTAAGTATCCACAAACATGACTCCAAAGCCATGGCTGTTTCCACTGACTGTCACTGGATCCTCATGGTTTAATTTGGGTTCAGTGGATTTCCTGTAACATAGGAAGCCCAGGAGCATTGGTGTTACTGTCTTAGATTCTTTTTTAGCTTTCATTAGATCTCAGTCCATGAAGTTGAGGTATTTGGATTACATTCAGTCCTCCAATTTCATGTCTTTCCTGAATAACTATCCAGATTGGCTTGCTGATCTTCTGGCACCATGTTCTAGTACCTGCTGGTACTTGGGCTTCATGGTGGGGAGGCCAGGCCCCCTTCTCAGAGAAGACTAGCCCTGAAGATACTTCATGGAGGCTGACCTGCAGAGACCTCTCTGCTAAAAGCCACCTGTAAGATCTGTCAGGCTTAGGAAGTACTCATCCCTTAGTCTCAGCCAAGCCAAGCAGTAGACATTTTTATATCATCGTTGTTGCAGAAGTCCTATTGCTGTACATCTCAGAACGAGTCTGAAATCCAGGGTCAAGAGGTATAATTTGGGGGGAAAGCCAATTGCAATATTTTATCATCAATTTTAAAACTCATGTACGCATGAACCTTGGACTTTTAATTCCCCTCCACCCGTACTATCCTGTTGGACTCAGTGCAAAGGCAAATAGATTTTTCTTTAAAAACTTAAGAAATGTCTCCAGTTCACCTTTGAATGAACAATGACTTTCTAGAGACAGGAGAACCTTCCTCCTTCCCCATCCCATCTGGTGACCTGAGCGTTCCATTTCAGATCGTATCTCATTCCTCTTCAAAGTGTCCAATGCAGGGACTGGGCTTTCTACTTAAGCTGGTCCTCTAGGTGTCTGTTCTTTCCTGGCTGCCCATGAGCATAAGTTGGATACATATTAGAGTACTGAGCCCCCTCAGTCCCAACTCATCAGGGCATTCATAGCCATAGTGAGGGATTAGTTATTTTTTTCATAAGCCTTTAGGAAAAGTAAGATGTGGCAAAGTGGAGCTGAGGACAGTGGGGAGAACCTGTTGGGTTTCCCATTGGGTTAAGTCTTATTTCTTTCTTGGTTTGGGTTTTCACCATAGGGTCCAGAAGGAAAACCAGGCAAACAAGGCGAGAAGGGACGAACTGGACCCAAGGTAGAGTTTGCCACCTCTTTCTCCATGCTGTTACTGGTCTTCCCCTCATCCTTGTAACATAGTCCCTGAGGGAATTACAGTTTCTCTCCTTTCTCTTATAGGGTGCAAAGGGCTACCAAGGGCACCTTGGTGAAATGGGCGTTCCAGGAGAGCCCGGGCCAGCTGGCAATCAAGGCCCAAAAGGATCCCGAGGCACCCTGGGACCAACGGTGAGAATGGCCCTGCTGCCCATGGGAGCTGTGACTTCAGAGCACCCTGGGGCATGGGAGGCCTGAGTTCAGAAGGCCCAATGAATAGGTGAAGGGGGAAAGAGATCAGTTTGTAAGAACCATTTGTGCTTGAGCCAGTTGGGGGATGAGTTAGGGTATAAATGCAGCTGGTTCCTCTGGCACTAATGTCAATATTTTACCCAGCTGTTAGCAGAACAGCTGAGAGGGTTTCATAGTGACATCTCTTTTAGAGCTCTCTGGTTGATCCCAAATGTTGAGTCTTCTCTGTGCAGCCATCTGTAAGGAGCTGACCTTTCAGCCTGGAGGATGCTGCGATGGTCTGGAGTTTCCTCTGAGATAGACCCAAGCTCACTTGGGCCTTTGTGAGCCCACATTACATCAACTTTATTATCCCACCCAGGGATCTATGAGCCAGACAGAGGGTGGGTTGGGACTTCCTTCTGTTCCTTATCAAGCAGAGCAGGGGAAATCCAGGAGCCAACTAGTACAGAGAACAGAAGCGGGGATAGAGGCGGTGGGCATGCCAACTCCTGGGACAAGAACCAAGAGAAGAGTCAGAGAAAGAGAATAGCTAAGGAAGGTCATCAGCTCTAGCTCTGTCTGTATTTCAATGAGGAGCAGGGATACCTGCTATATTGGCTTTTATGGTTTCCTGTAACTTGGTAACTCTCTCCTTTTGTTGCTTATTAGCTTAAACCCTATCCAGTCCCCTCTAGTCACTACCAGTATTAAAAAAAAACCCTTTAGGAGAAAAAAACAAACAAATTAGAAAAGAGCTTTGTGTTTCTTTGACAGTCAGCAGAGAGGTAGAGAGCTGTGACTTGTTTTTCAGAGCCCTTGGGTGAGGGGGAAACTAGGTAGAAGTATGGGGGCTGGGGGTGGCAGGGAGCAGAGAACTTTGGGTACAACAGATCCCTGAGAGAGAAGAATGTGGGGTTCTGGGGACTCAGAGGTGTCCCCAAAGGCTCTTAATTGGCAGGAGGCTTCACAGTGCACCACACCACCCAGAGGAAACCTGTAAGACAGCCTCCCTTACACAAAGTAATCCACATCTGTTGAGTCCTGTCTTATGTTTTATCTTCTGTCAGAATTTCTGCTGGGAAGTGGATTAAAAATAGCTTCGTCAGTTCTTGCCAATAGATTTGGAAATAGGTTCAAAACATTTAGATCCTGTATGGAAAATTCAGATCATGGGATTATAGATCATGGGATCATGGAACTAAAACTTGAAGGGCCCTCAGAGGCCATCTAGTTGAACGGGTCAGTGAGGTTATTCACCTCCAGAGAGGCTGCTTCCACAAGGAAATGTTGATGAGATAGAGGCCATCTGAATCCCCTCTGGGCTAGTATAATAATAGTAACAATGATAATAAAAATAATGATAACAACTGATATTTTTAAAGATTTCAGAGTGCTTTATCTGCATCATCTAATTTTAACCACACAACAGCTGTGGGAGGTAGATGCTAGGTATTCTTATCCCCAGTTTTACAGATGAGGGAACTAAAGTGCAGAGAGGTTAAGAGGCTTGCCCACAGTCACACAGCTAGTAAGTGTCAGAGATAGGAATCAGATGCAGGTCTTCCTGATTCCAAGTCCAGAGTTCTATCCACTGCACTGTATTGGTATATATGTCTCTGAGAGGGTTAGTAATATGGAGGACATAGCTCAGGGATCTGGGTCTGGGCTTCTTGACTTTCCCAATGGAGCCCTAGTTTGAGAAGGTAATAAGAAAGTAAACAGGATGGCAGGGGGCTAGCTCTTCAACTCAGCCACTGTCTAACTAAAGCATTTGGTTTCATGACAAGCAAAAAGAACAGCTCAGCCACTTGGCTGGCCTTGGAAGAGCACAGCTCCCCAGTCAAGCATCACCCAGTAACAATGGGCATCCTATTTTTTCTTCTCTCTGGCTCCTTCCATAGGGTGCTCCAGGAAGGATGGGAGCTCAAGGAGAACCTGGATTGCCTGGTTATGATGTAAGATAACGTTTAAATTTTTTAAAAAGACCCTCACTTCTCCTTTCCTTGAGAACTCTGTCCTGCTCCCCAGTGATGTATTATATGTAACCTTGTGCTAACCAGAAGGGGAGGAGGAGATGATAAAGGGGAAAAGGAAGGCCCCTTTGTATCGACTGTTCAAACAGTGGTTCCTAGCCCATTTCATGGAACAGTGGGCAGTTGGTAAATATCCTACCAGCACCTGCTTACCAATTTGGGGAAAATATGGGGTCAAAGACACTTTACCATAGGTGGAGAAAAGAGAAAAATAGGAGAAAGGAAATGAGGGGCAGGGAAAGAGGTGATAGGGAGGGCATCACATAGACACAAAAGTGGGAGAGAGGAGAGCTGGGACAGAGGAGGAAGAGGGATAGGGCCAAGGAGAAAAAGAAGCTGAGTAGATGAAGGAAAAAGAGGAGAGAGGGGAGAAATGAAATAGGACACAGAAGAAGGAAACACAGAGGAGAGGTGGAATCTGGGTAAGGAGACAAGCAGGAGGAGCTGAGATGCCAATGATGTCATCACCATAGGGTACAGAAAGGTTTCAGAAGCATCATAGCTACGGCTGCTTGAGATGCACAGGATGGGAAGTGGGCCCTATATAGTGCCTCCAGAGTATGGGCATATGTTTAGCTCCAGATTAAATAGCTCGAAGGCATTGCCTTCCCATCCAGCATCTCAGCAGTATTCTGCCTGAGTTATCAGCTAATGCTCAGCTTCCCAGAGTGCCTGTTACTTTGGCTCAAGAGTGAGTACCAATGATCAGGTGTTCCTTGTACCTAATAACCTGGAACTGATGATGGAAGTCACTGAAAATTTAGTCAGAAAAGCGTGGAGCCTTCATGCTAGAAGGGCCTTTCAATATCACCCAGTGTAATCCTCTCAATTTTGCAGTTGAGGAAACTGAGGCTCAGAGAATGGAAGTAACTTGTCAAAGGCCAAAGAACTGATGACAGAGATAGGATCAGAACCCACGTCTTCAGTTCATTTTCTCCATTTCTGACTTCTCTTACTCTTTCCTTTGCCTAACTGGCTTCCTTAATTTTTGATGCCTTGGACATGGGACACTTACACTGTCTTCTGTTTCCTGTAGGGACACAAAGGACTACTGGGACCCATTGGACCCCCAGGGCCAAAAGGCGAGAAGGTGAGTGAGTCCCTAGCACCTGGAGAGAACTATGGGGAAGACAAACCAAATTCTTGTAAGTGAAATCAATGGTGCAGGCACAGTCCACATGGCTTCCAGGTGCAAGGAAAGCAGTGAGCTCATCCTGTCTGTGTTACTGGCAAATTATTGTAACATGGAAAGGCAGATGGAGACTAAGAGGCCCCTTTGGATGGCTGTGTTCAGAGAAGCAATGTGGGGTGAACCAGCGTGACTTGGAAAGGGTTCCTGAGACTCGCACCCTATGAGCCAGGCGTTGAAGCTTCAAGGCTCCCGTCAGCCCATTGCCCTGGGCTCCGGGCTCATTAAAGCAAAGCAATAAAATTCTGGAATGATCTAATGGTAGATTTGGAAACCCTTTCATTTAGTAGATGAGGAAATAAGACCCAGATGAGGAGAGTGACATGTCCAAAGTCACACCATAACAAGGACAGAGCCCAGCCTAGAACATGGGTCTTCTAATTTGATGCTTTATCCATTCTACTACCCTGTCTCCCATATTGAAAGAATTCTCAATAGTTTGCATTCCCCTCTTTTTCTCCTCCCCGTCTTTAGTCCTGAAGCCAGAATGACTCAGAGGAACCATCCAACCACTATATCCTTTTTTTTTCCTTCTTTCCCTCACTCTCTTTTCTTCTCTCTTCCCTGGACCTTTTAAAGAATTTTGCTGAGTCAGCTCCTTTCTAACCAATTCGAGCTGGCCGGATGAGTCACACAACCTTAGCTTCCTGTCAAGTGCCGGCCCCTTCCCCAGCCCAGCTGGCTGGGGCCATCCCTGAATTGTGTTCAGAACTGGGCCCTGAGCCCTGGCAAGCCCAGAGCCTCAGAAGCTCTGTTACACTGAGTCCTTGTACCCATCATGTTCTTGGTTACTCCTGCTGTGGCTGTGGGTATTGACTAGAGCCAGTGTGGAAGAAGTTAACATCTCCCCTTCTAGTGATTCCCAATGCCCTTTTGCTCCAGGCAAAATTTTAATCTGTGTTCTGTATCCCAAGCCATCTGTGGCCAGAAGAGTATCATCTGTGGTCAGGAGTCAAAAGAAATCTAAATTTCCAGCCCAGCTCTGCTACTGAATCACTGGGTGTCCTCAAAGAAAAACTCATTTCCCTCTCTGAGCCTCAGTTCCTTCCTCTTTAAAAAGAGAAAACTGGACCAGATAATCTCTTAGAGCACAAGAAGTCACATAGTCAGGGAAAGAGCCTTCCAGGGTGAAGGTAAGTATAATGACTGTCCTAGTTGTCTAGACGCCCTCAGCATTGTCCATTCAAGGTTCCCAGGCTTTGGACACAAAGGCTCCACCTTCTGGCTTTGCCCATCAGAGCTTTTGTGAGGAAGGAGAAGGCGGGAGGACATGCTAATATGTAGGAACAAGCAGCAGTCAGGACTGTCCCCAAGGTCCTTATTGCCAGAAGTCATGCTCTTGAAGTCTTTTCTTGCCTAGCCTACCCTAATCAGAGAGCATTGGAGCTGGAAGAATCATTAGAGATCTTGTCCAACCCTCCTCCCCCATTTTGCAGATAGGGAAAGTGAGGTCCAGAAAAAAAGACCATTCCATAGGCTTCCCTCAAACACCATGGCACCCCAATATCAGCTCCTGAGGCCACATCCTGAACACAGATGGGTACTCAGAGTTATTGAGTACAGTAGTCATATAACTTGTTCAGGGATACCTAGAAAATCATTAGCTTCTCTAGATCAGAGCCCACAGAAGCAAAATTCTTGGGTCATTTATCAGTCTTAGCCATGAAGCCTCCCATGCTGTAGTGCAATCACTGACCAGTGTCCAAAATAGCCACCTGATAATCTTAACATTAAGCAGAGAGGACTTAGTAATGTCTTAGAAGGGAAGTCTGTGACCTTATCCTTAGTAGCACTAGTGAACACCAGCAAACCTTAGCATGTAAAGCTCATAGTCACTGACCCCCAAGCCTGGTCGATGAGAAAACAACATCTAATATGAACTAGCTAATGTGAAAGGCAGCTGGTTATAAGTGTCAGGAAGATTCAGGCTTTTGCCGTACTACAGGCTTCAAACTGCTATGAAAAGGAAGGGTCAATGAGATAGAATCAGAGGTTGTCCAGAACTGAGAGGGACCTTAGAACATGGAACGTCAGGGCTGGGAGGAACCTTAGAACATGGAATGTCAGGGCTGGGAGGGGCCTTAGAATACATAACACTCTGGGCAGCAGATGTTCAAATGTCTTCTCTTCCTGAATCCCCTTATGCCACCGTCCTCCCAGTCTCCTAGATTGACAACCTTGGATCTTCTTAACACTAAGCCTTCACAACCAATCAATTGCCAAGCCTCATCAATTCTTCCTCTGCATCTTACAGACATCTGTCCTCCTCTCCCTTCCCATGACCACTAGGCCTTGAGTTCTTATTTTGCCACCAACAGAGTGTGTGTTCTGAGCAAGTCGAAAGACCCTCTTTGGGCCTCTCTTTATTTGTAAAATGAGCAAGTTGCGGGGGCAGCTAGGTGGTGCGGTAGATAGAGCTCCAGCCTTGGAGTCAGGAGGACCTGAGTTCAAATCTAGCCTCAGACACTTGACACTTACTAGCTGTGTGACCCTGGGCAAGTCACAGTTAACCCTACAGAACCCTCTATCCTCTATCACCAAAAAAGCAAAAAAAAAAAAAAGAGCAAGTTGAACCAAACTTTTAAGTCTGTCAAGCTATCATTACCATCTCTCACATGGGCTTTTGAAATAGCTTCCTTATTCACTTCCCTGCTCCAAGTCTCACCCTTCTCCAATTCATTCTTCACACAGCTGCCAAAATCATCACTTCTCTGCTCAAAAATCTTCAGTGGCTCCCTATGTCCCCTAGCTAAGACCCAAACTTCTCAGCCTGGCATTTTAGGCCCTTCTGGTTCCAGCCTGCCTTCGCACATTTATTTCACATGACTCCCCTTCACAGACTCTGAACTCTGGACACAATGGACTATGCACACTGCCGGAGCTCGGCGTTCCATCTCTTTCCTAGATGCCTTCGCTTCCTTTGCCCACTTTGAGGCCCAAACCTGGCGCCCCTTCCTTGGTGGAGCTTTTCCTCATCCCCCTGCTTGTGAGCGCCCCTTCCCACCTCTTCCTCCAGCCTTGTATGCACTTGCTGGTTGAGTTATGCTGGTTCCTCGACGGCAGAGGCTGCTTTTGTTTATCTTCGGGGCCTGGCATAGGACCTCAGCCCATTTGGTTTCCCTGCTAGAAGGAATTCTCAGGGATGAAGCTCCCCCTGCCAGTGGAGATGAGCAGCTGCTCTAGGAGTGCTAGCCTTAGAGATTCCCAGGGCACTGAGAGGTTACGTGACTTGCCCAGCTGATAGAGCCAGTGGGCAAAAGGAGGTGAGACTTGACGCCGGGTCTTCCTGACCGCAAGGCTCATTATTAGACACTCTGCTTCTTTTGAACACAGTAGGAGCATAATAAATATTTGTTGAAATGTTATTGAGTAGAATTTAGAGCTGGAATGGATTTTAAAACATAGACTTCTTGAGCTGGCATGGACTTGTTAGAGACCTCCTAAAACAACCTCTTAATTTTATAAATGAGGAAATTAGGATAGAGAGGCACTATGGCCTGGTAGCTAGACTCAAGACCTCAATTCAGATCCACTGCAGATACTTATCCCTGGATAAGTCACTTGACTGCTCTGTGCCTCAGTTTCCTCATCCATTAAAAAAAAGAGGGCTGGACTTGATGTCCTCTAAGTTCCCTTCCAGCTCTAAAGCTGTAATCCTGTGAAATGATTTGCCCCAGATCACAGAGTCTATTATTGTCTACTGCTCTCTGTCACCACTGTCCCCTCCAAAAGGCGTCTTTCTCTTCTTTCTCTTCCTTCTTCCAGCAAGGCAATTTGCCTTCCACATCCAACCTGATCTCAGTGGGTTGTTGCAGCCCAGACAAGTGCTGCTTTGCAATAGCTGTGTTTTAGGGCAAAAGAAATGTCTGTATTCTCATCTTCTCTTCATCTCACTTCCCTCTCTCTCCCCCCTTGGCTTTTCTCAGCCTGCCTGAGGACACAGGGTAATGTTGCTATGAACCCTGGGGAATTTGGGCCAGAATAAACCTTAGGGAATGCAGCACAGTGACCAGGGAGAGAATGTCTGCCCATTCCAGAGTGCTTTTAGAGCAGCAGATGCATTCCTTCACCTTACAGTGTAAGGAAGGGCAGGTGGTATGGCCGATGGGGAAGCTGAGACCCAAAGTATGTAAGGGAAACCAGAACCAGTCTTCTCCTTTACTGTCCAGTACTGATTTCTCTATAGAATTCCTCCCTCCCTAGGCTTGGTTTTTTTCTCTTTGGGGGTTTATTGTTGTCAGATAGGAATCTGAGGGTGAGGCCTATGTGTGGGAAGAAACTGCTGATTCTCCCATTGGCAAGAGAGGGAGTAAGGGTTGGCCCCAGGCTGTTTCTGTTATCCCATAAGGTGGGAATCCCCAGGGGATGCTGATAGGCTCAGACACCCGCACTTTGGCAGCTGCCCTTACCAGACAGATGGGAACCTTTCAAAAAAAAATTTAAAAATAATATGTATATGTATATGTATATGTATATGTATATGTATATGTATATGTATATGTATATGTATATGTATATGTATATGTATCTCAATGTAGGCTGCAGGCCAACAGCAATAAGTCAGCCTGATACCTACTGCATTTTTTCCATTTTGATCTGAGTGTGTTTACTCTTCAGCCGTCTCTCCTCTGCTGACTTGGCTGCTAGAGAAATGGGAAGGGGCTGGGTAGCCAACAGTAATGTGGTTGCTTGGTGGAATTTGACCCCTGAAGGAAGCATGGAGACCTTTACTGGCTAGCAGAGTGCTCACTTCCACACCACAGCTGAGGTGACTCTTTAGTGCCAAAATGGCGCCCTGCTCTCATAGGAAGTACTGCTTCCTTTGAGTAGCCTGGTATATCCCAAATTCCAAATCAGGATTGGTCTTGGGAGGCTAGAATAGTCTTGGCCCAAGACTGTCAACAGAGCCAAGGTCTAAAGCTAAATCTTCTGTGGATTGAGCAGGAAAGGAAGCTGCCTCAAGAACCCCAGAGGCACAAGACTTCTGGAAATTAAACAGACATTCAGCTCAACAAGAATTTCCTAAGCATCCACTATGTGCAAGGTACTGTGCTAGGTGCTGAGAATACAACATAAAAAATGAGATGATCCCTGCCCTCAAGGGGCATTATATTCTACCACAGGGATTCTTAACTGCTTTGACTCCTTTGGCAGTCTGGTGAAACCTAGGGACCCCTTCTCAGAATCATGCAGAAAATGCAGAAAATAAAACACATAGGATTACAAAAGAAACCAATTATATTGAAACGTAGGTATCAAAAATTTTTTTTTAAAATAAGTTAATGGGGGCAGCTAGGTGGCATAGTGGATAGAGCACTGGTCCTGAAGTCAGGAGGACCTGAGTTTAAATCTGGCCTCAGACCAAACACTTGATACTTACTAGCTGTGTGACCCTGGACAAGTCACTTAACCCCAACTTCCTAAAAAAAAAAATTTTTAATGGACCCCAAGTTAAGAACTCCTGTTCTAATGGAAAGGCAGCCCCCAGAAAGACTTCCAGCCTTGGAACAGAAGAACAGTAGGCCAAAGTTCTCATAGCTTTCAAGGATAGATTTAGAGCTGAAGGGGACCTTAGAAGTCATTGAGTCCAACCCCTTCATTTTACAGATAAGGTGCAGATGTGGCACAGGGAGACTAAGAGACCTATCCAGAGTCACACAGCTAGTAAGGAACTGGGTTCGAGTCAGTGGAAATGCTCATCTGAGCTCTTGTAGACAGAAAGAGCATTGAACTGGGAGTTAGTCAGCAATCTACCTCAGTACTTTTGTACCTGGAAGGTACTTAATGATTTGTTTATTTTAATTAAATTAGGAGAGGTGGGTTCAAGTCTTGGCTCTGCACTAATTATATGTGTTTCTCGGGAAAAGCCATTTCCTTTCTCATTTTCCTTTTCTGTTTTTGTTTTGTTTTTTATTTTTTAGGCAATTGGGGTTAAGGGACTTGCCCAGGGTCACACAGCTAGTAAGTGTCAAGTGTTTGGTCTGAGGCCAGATTTGAACTCAGGTCCTCCTGACTTAGGGCCAGTGCTCTATCCACTGTGCCACCTAGCTGCCCCTTCTCATTTTCCTTTTCTGTAAAATGAGAGGGTTGGACTGGATCAGCTATTTTCAAAATATAGTCTCGGGACCCCTGGAAATCCCCAAAGACCTTTTCAGAAGGTCTTCCAGGTCAAAACTAGTTTCTCAATAATACTAAGAAGTTTTAATTTCTAATATAGTAAATATTAATAGATGTAACCCACCAAAAAAAAAACTCTTTAGGGAGTCTCCAATAACCTTTAAGGGGTCTTGAGACCAAAAAGTTTGAAACCAATGAATTAAATTATCTCAGGGGCCCTAACAGCCCTCCCATTGTGTGACCCTGGGCCAGAGCAGCCTTAAGACAGGCATGGGTTTTGAGAAGACTGAAGCCAGTAGTTGTCTAGAATGGCCAGATTCTTTGCCATTGAGCAGGCCTCGAAATCTGAGAGAGGTTGAGGATTGGGAGCCTGGAGCACAGACACGCAGTATGTGATCCTGACCAACAGAATCTCAGCCATTAGTTTAATTTGACAAATGTTGATCAGCAATCACTAGAAGGATCAAGTGTGTCAGTTGGGTCACATGATGCAAGAATTTTTAAAAATGTATTTTTTTGCAATTTTACTATAACTTACTATCATCTCTCCTGTCTGTGCAAAAGCATTTTAAATACAAACACTTCAAGCAGATATTAGAATTTTACTTTGAAATACACATTTTCATCCTTCTGTCTCTAGAACATGCAAATTCACTGGGTCAGTTTATATAGCTTGATCTTTTGAGCTTCTCTTAAATTCTGGCCTTTCTAGTTTAAGTATCTACTATGTTCAGGCTGACTTTGAAACCCTCCAGACTTACTTACCTTCCCTTTCCCCATCATTCTTTATCTGCTTGGCCTCCCTGTATCTCCCCAGAGGACCAGGAGAGAACTATTCCCACATCACAGGGACCCCTATGTGGAGGCCTGCCTCTAGGCATGCTTCCCTCCCCACAGAGCTGTTCCCATCTTTGGGGTCCCAGGTGGCCTCCTTACATCCAGATTTCAGATGGCACAGTCCTTGTGCTTCCTGACGGTTCTGTGGGAAGTATTTCCTAATGCCTGGCTCTTTGTCCACAGGGAGAACAAGGCGATGATGGGAAGACTGAGGGCCCTCCAGGGCCTCCTGGAGATCGGGTAAGTACCCACCTACCTTTTCCTGTCTTCCACGGCATTAACTCCCCCAGGGCAGATGTCGTAAAGGAGAGATAGTCATCTGCCTTAGATTGAAGAAGGCCTTCTATTTCCTGCCCCACTGGCCAGATTCTTGCTCCTTTTTCCATGGAAGGTACTGCAAGCGTGACTGTGGCCATGGTTCCCATGCAGGGACAGGGAAAGTTATTATGGTTGGGGTTTGGAGGTAGCCATGGATCCAGACCTCCCTGCCTGCCCTGTGCTAAGTTCAATAATCCACCAATTAATGCTGACCACTTTTTGTTTCTGTTGCTTGTGGCCTTCAGGGTCCAGTGGGTGATCGTGGAGATCGAGGGGAGCCTGGAGATCCCGGATACCCTGTAAGTATCAGTGGTGCCAGGCCTTGTACAAAGACCATGATGTTTTTTCGGGGGAGGGGGTTAGAAAGACCCCTCCTCTCTAGCCAAAGACTGTTAGCAGCAAAATGGGGGGAGGGGGTGGCACATCAAAGGGAAAAATAGCCCAATGGGGTTGGCGAAGAAGCCAATCGGGGCAAAAGAGAACCCAGTGTACTCATTCTCCTCTGCACAACTGTATTCCAGGGCCAGGAGGGTGTTGAAGGAAGCAGAGGAAAAGCTGGTCAGCAAGGCTTACCGGTAAGTGAAACATTTTAACTGTTTTCTTTCAAATGAGGACCATGCATTAAAAACCTCAAGGCCTCTTTATGTCCTGAAGCCACTGTTCCATAGCTTCTTCTCTTCAGAACTTTCAAGACAACATTCTAGAATTCTAGACTTGTGAGCTTTCAGCACTGGGACCTGGCAAGGGAGGGACAAGGGATGATGACGCCCAAAGCATCTGCACCCTTGCTTTCCAGTCATCTTCAGAGATGGCCCCATGCCCTAGCCTAGCCTCTTCACTGGTGAGGGACTCTGGGGACTTCCCTGACCATCTGCCCCACAAAAGAACTATTCCCCCAATTGGTCCTGCATCCCTCTGAGTAAAAAATTCCAGACCAAATTTTTTTATTTTGTTTTGGTTTCCAGGGACATCCTGGACCCCGGGGACGACCAGGACCCAAGGGATCAAAGGGTGAAGAGGTGAGGCTTTCTCTCTTTCCCCAAGACCAGTGCCACCCCTTATCCTGATCCTAAAACCAGATGACTCATAGTCAAAAAATGTTAGAGGATCCTCAGACCCTAGAATTCTAGAACCTAAAATATTAGCTTAAAATTAGAAGGGACCTTAGAAAGATAAAATGGTAAAGGTGGGAGGATCATTAGAATACAGAATATTATCCCTTTAGAGAATCTTAGAACATAAAGTACAGAAGGGAACTACTGTGTATAGTAGCAAGAAAGCAAAATGGCTGTCTGATGAGGCTTTACAAATACTTGAGGAAAGATGGAAACAGAAAGCAACTAAATGCAGAATTCAAAAAAAAATAGCAAGGAAGATAAGGTTTTCTTAAATGAGCAATGCAAAGAAATAGAAGAAAACAATAGACTGGGAAAGACCAGAGGTCTCATCAAGAAAATTAGTGATATCAACAGAAGGTTTCATGCAAAAATAGGCATGATAAAAAACAAAAATGGTGGGGACTTAAGTAGAAGAGATTAAGAAGAGGCAGTAAGAATACACAGACGAACCATACAAGAAAGACCTTAACATCACTGATAACTGCTAACTACGACGGTGTGGTCACTGATCTAGAACCAGACATCCAGGAGAATGAAGTCAAGTGGGCCTAATTAAGCATTGCCAACAAAAAGGCTAGTGTAGTGATGAAATTCCAGCTGAGCTATTTCAAATACTAAAAGATGATGCTGTTAAAGTACTTCATTCAATATGTCAGCAAATTTGGAAAACTCAACAGTGCTCACTAGTTTGGAAAAGATCAGTTTATGTCCTAATCCTAAAAAAAGGCAATGCCAAGGAATGTTCAAATTACTGAACAGTTGCACTCATTTCACACACCAGCAAGGTTGTGCTTAAGATTCTGCAAGCTGGGCTTCAGCAATATGTGAACCAAGAATTACCAGAAGAGCTGGCTGGTTTTCAAAGAGGCAGACAATTGTTGTCAATTGCCAGCATTCTCTGGATTATGGAGAAAGCAAGGGAGTTCCAGAAAAACATCTCAAGCCTTTGCCTATATGAATCACAACAAAATGTGTTAAGTCCTCAAAGAGATGGGAGTACCAGATCATCTTACTTGTCTCCTGAGGAACTTGTGTATGAGTCAAGAAGCAATAATTAGAACCGAACTTGGAACAGATGATTGGTTTAAGATTGGAAAAGGAGTACAACAAGGCTATATATTGCCACCTTGTTTATTTAACTTATGTGCAGAGGGCATCATGTGAAATGCCAGGCTGGATGAATAAAAAACCAGAATTAAGGCTGCTGAAAGAAGTATCAACAATCTCAGATATGCAGACAATACACTCTGATGATAGAAAGTGAAAAAGAATTAAGAAGCCTCTTGATGAGTGAGAAAGAGGAGAGTGCAAAAGCCGGCTTGAAGTTTAACATAAAAAATGAAGACCTTGGCAACTGGTCTCATCACTTTGTGGCAAATAGAGAAATGGAAGCTTGTCAGATTTTATGTTCTTGTGCTCAAAGATCACTGTAGACGGTGACTGCAGCCATGAAATGAAAAGACATTTCCTTGCTCCTTGGAAGGAAAGTTATGTCAAATCTGGACAGCATACTAAAAGGCAGAGACACCACCTTGCTGACAAAGGTCCGTAAAGTCAAAGCTATGGTTCTTCCAGCAATAATGGATGGTTGTGAGAGCGGGACCATAAGGAAAGCTGAGCACTGAAGAATTGACACTTTCAAATGGTAGTGCTAGTGAAGACTTTTGAGAGTCCCTTGGACAGCAAGGAGGTCAAATCAGTCAATACTTAAAAGAAATTAATTTAGACTATTCACTGGAAGGTCAAATACTAAAACTGAAGCTTAAATACTTTGACCACATAATGAGAAAATGGGACTGTTAGAAAAAACCCTGATGCTGGGAAAGATTGAAGGCAAAAGAACAAGGGGAGAGCAGAAGATGAGATGGATAGAAAGTCACGGAAGCAACAAACATGAACTTGGACAGACTTTGGGAGGTAGCGGAGGATAGACAGGCCTGGTGTGCTATGTTCCAAGGGGTCAAGAAGAGTCAGAGACAACTGAACAACAACAGTGTGTGTGGAGACCAGTTAGTCCAATCCCCTCATTTGGCAAATGATGAAGCTTAAGCCCGAATAAAAAGGTTTACTTAAAGTTATAAACAAAGCTAGGGGCAGAGTTGGGACTAAGTGCTCCCAGGCCAGTGCTTTTTGCTTCCTGCTCACCCTATATCACCTTCTCTGGATTTCCTGGATCTGGGGAGAGAGATGATGAGCATCAGCCAGGCTACGCACCTGACTCAGCCAGAGGGTACAGCTGAGCCTCAGCCAGCTCTTTGATCATTAGGAGCTCCTGGGCAGCATAGCAGCACTGTTGGCTCACTGTTAGGTCTGAGTGAAAGCTGGAGAAAGGATGATAGAGAGAAGAAAAGGGGGGAGGCAAAGCAAAAGGGGAAATGGAGCGAGGAGAGAAAGAAAGATAAAGAGGGATGAGGATAGAAATGGAGCAAGGAGAGAAAGAGAAGGAAAGATAAAGAGGGATGAGGATAAAAATGGAGCAAGGAGAGAAAGAGAAGGAAAGATAAAGAGGGATGAGGATAGAAAGAGGAAGGAGAGAAAGAGAAGGAAAGATTAAGAGGGATGAGGATAGAAATGGGGAAAGAAAGAGAAGGAAAGATTAAGAGGGATGAGGATAGAAAGAGGAAGGAGAGAAAGAGAAGGAAAGATTAAGAGGGATGAGGACAGAAATGGGGAAAGAAAGAGAAGGCCCAGAGATGATGAAAGTGGGAAGAATCAATCCATCAATCAAGTGTTCCTTAAGCATCTACTATGCTAGGTGCTGGGGGTAGCAGTACAAAGAATGAAACGAGAAGTTTGTATTTTAATAAAAGTGAGAGCATGTGCATGTAAAACGTATATCATAAAGTGACAGAATGCATATACATTCCAGACACAAGCACATGAAGTAGCTAAATACGGAGGAGTTTGGGAAGGAGGGCATAGGCAATTGAGGAGAATCAAGAACAGCTTCAGGCAGGAGATGGTGCCTGAGGACACATCTGGCCCTGGGGCCCCTCTGTGACCCCCAGGTCCTGGACCATTTCCTAGATCATCCTCCCTTTCTCTCCACTCTGTTTGGATCTTGTCACTTGCTTGCTTGTAACCCACAACTGTGGTCCCCTGCTCTTGAGGAATATGCTGATTTACCAAGTGTGACTGTGGGCTCTGACCAAAAGCCTTTCTCTGCTGCCATCTCCTGGTCATGGAGCTCCTCTTTGTGATCCTCCCCAAATTCCTCCAGCTGCTGTCAGAATCAGTCATTTATTAATCACCTACTGTGTACCAGGTGCCTAGGCAGAGGGGAGGGCTGCTGGGAATTTCCTGGCCCAGAGGGTTGCAGGGGGCCTCTCAGGTCCTCCATGTTTGCTGGGATCCCCCATCCCAAGCTGTATCCTGAACAAACGAAATTGCTATCTGTGACTTTGGGGCTCTTTCTGCTCATGGATTCTGTAAGACAAGGTTTGGTCCCCCAGGAAGGAATCAATGGGAAAAAGAGGATCCCGTTTAAGACAATTCCAAAAGACTCATGATAGAAAATGCTAACCACATCCAGAAAAAGAACTATGGAGTCTGAATGCAGATTGAATCATACTATTTGCTGTCTTTTTTTGTTTGTTTGTTTCCTCTTTCTCATGGTTTCTCCCATTGGTTCTAATTCTTTTTCATAACATGACTAATGTGAAAATGTTTAATAGGAATGTATATGTAGAGCCTATATCAGATTGCATGCCTGTATTGGAGGGGGGGAGAGGAGGGAGGGGGAGAAAATTTAGAACTCAAAATCTTATGGAAGTGAATGTTGAAAACTTAAAAATTAATTAATTAATTAAAAAAGAAGAAGAGGATCCCTCTGTCCAAGTGGGCTACATGGTTCTTGGGAGTGTGTAGGTGGGACTGGCCAAGTCACAGGGTTCTTTGTGATTGAGTTTTGTGAGGCAAATGCTTGCAGCAATAGTTAAATGCTACAAGAATGTGAAGTGATTCTGGGAGACATGAGAAGGGTGGTAGAAAGAGTACTGGGCTTGGAGTAAGTTGGTTCAGATCTTGCTTCCCTTCTCTGGGCCTCAGTTTCCTTTTTAGTGAAATGAAGGAGTTGGACTAAATGATCTCTGAAATTCCTTCCTCTGAATCCTCTGAGCCCTTGTAGAGTCAGCTGCCTTAATTTGTACCAGACCTTCTGCTTTTCAGAGCACTGTCGCAGCCAAGATCTCATGTTATTATTGGTGATGAGAATAATAATAGTAATAAAAACAATCATTAGCAGTTATATTGTGCTTTAAGGTCAACAAAGTGCTTTAGGCAGGTTATTTCATTTGAAGGTAGGATTGGAACTCAGGTCTTCTGGACTCCCATGTATAGGGCTCTATCCACTATGCTTTAGTAGCTACTTTAATAAAATGAAGGAATGTGTGAGACAGCCTCTGAGGTTCTTTCGAGCTCTGGTCTATAATCTTGCGATCTGTAAACAACCCTTATAAGATAGAATGCGTGACTGTTACTTACCCTCATTTTACAGATGCAAGGGGGAATTATTGATTTTACCTAATTCACACAACGTTTGTGCAGCAGAAAGAATCCTTCCAGTCACAGGACATGAGATCAGATCTCAATTCTGTTGTTTAACCACCTGCAGGACCTTGAGCAAATCCCTAACCTGCTCTGGGCCTCAATTTCCTTGTATGTAATATCGAGGAGGTGGACTCAGTGGCCTCTGGTTTCCCACTCCAGATCCTGTGATGGTGAGGATTAATGGCAGAGACAAGGTTTCCTTGGATCTTACTCTGACTCTCATCAGAGTGCTTCCACCATGGGCGGGGTAAAAGCATTTCAGGGTTGATGGAACAAAGAGATAGATACTATCACTAATAAAAAATACGCCCATACATCAAGGAACTATGATTTCTTCAATTTGGGTAATCCTTGCACCAGCAGGTGCAGATTGAAGCCTCTCTGTGACTTAGGAGATAGTTGTCAGGAGATGATATGGCTGAAAAAGTCATCACCTTGAGGAAGATTGGTTCTCCAGTGATAGATAGATATAAAGTCTGTCACTGGGCCCATCCTCAAAACCTTTACAAGGTAGTTGTTGTTGTTCGGGAATTTCAATCATGTCCGACTTTTTGTGACCCCACTTGGGGTTTTCTTGGCAAAGATACTGGAGTGGTTTGCCATTTCCTTCTCTAGCTCATTTGACAGATGAGGAAACTAAGGCAAACAGAGTTAAGTGACTTACCCAGGGTCACACAGATAGTAAGTGTCTGAGGTCCAATTAGAACTCAGGTCTTCCTGACTCCAGGCCTCACACTCTGTATCCATTGTGCCACCTAGCTGTCACTTTAGATCTACTTCAGTCCTGAACACAAGGGAAGGATGATCCTCTCTTGGAGTCCCTTCCTCCAGTCAGCCCCTTGGCTCAGGCCTGAACTAATTTTCTTGGCTTTTCAGGGTCAGAAAGGGAAACAAGGAAAGCGTGGAGAAGCAGGCAGCCGAGGAATGCAGGTGAGCGGTCCTGAGGTCACACCCCTCATCTTGATGCCTCCCCCAGCCTACGGTCTTTCCCTACCTCATCTGGTCTCTTTGGGTCCCCAGGGCCTGGTGGGGCAGCCAGGGCCTCGAGGTGTGGTGGGAAGACAAGGCCAAGAAGGACCCCCTGGTCTGGATGGAGTTCCTGGGAAGGATGGCCAAGCTGGACAGCAGGTAAGCCGAATGGCTGAGACTTCGGGTGTGGGTTATCTTGACCATCCACCTCGGGGAAGACCTGGAAAGGGACCGTATCATAGAGCTGGAAGAGACCTTAGAATCTCAAATGGCAAAGGCCGAATGAACCTTAAAACATAGGATGTCAATAACTGAAGGAGCCTGAGATAAGAGAATGTCAGAGCTGGGAGGGACCTTAGAGAAGAGAACGTTAGCTCGATTTGAATGGAATCAAACTGAGTTCTATTCAGTTGGCCAACATGCATCTATTAATCTCCTCCTGTGTGCCAGGCACTGTTAGGGGGTATAAATACGGAGGATTGAACAATCCCTACTCATAGGGAATAGGGTTTAAGTCACGCGCACACACACACACACACACACACACACACACACACACACACACTGCATCCCATCCTAGCTCAATTCCATAACCTCTTTCAACTACCTGTTCCAATAACGCCTTCCAGACTGGCAGTTCTTTCTCAGGTATGCCATCTATCCTTCATCCCACAGCTCAAGTCCGTGCAGTATTTCCAGACCTCTACGCTTCTGTGTTTCCCTGAAAGCCTGTGCCTTCAGAAACTAAGTTAACTCTATGTCTCACTCCATTTAGGGGGAACAGGGAGATGATGGAGAAGTTGGACCCGTTGGCCCCGCAGGCAGGAGAGGAAATCCAGGTGTGGCTGGTTTGCCTGGAGCTCAGGGACCCCCAGGATTCAAGGTGAGTCTGTTTCCATCCTACATTCTGTCTTAGGCAGGCTAATGTTGTGGGGCAGCTCTGAGGCACAGCTAGGAACTATTTCTGAGAGTTGTGCCTTTGGGGAGGTGTATGATGGTGACCCAGGATCATAGGTCATAGATGTGGACCTGGAAAGGACCTTAGAGGCCATCTAGTTCTTATTTTAAATATGAAGAAACTGAGACCCGGAAAGACTAGGTACCTGACTTGTCCACGGTCACATAGCTAGGAAGTGATAATGGCAGAATTTGAACCCAAGTTCTCTGACTTTCAAATCCAGGATTCTTTCTACTATTCCAGGATACTGTATGGGTTTCTAATATTTCTTCAGAGGCTTAAGACCTCCTAAAATAACACAAATTAGATTTAAAAAAAAAACTATAAATCATGTAGGATTAGAGATAGAAAATTTCCAATCCACTTGGCCTCTTCAAATACTCACTTCAGTGTTGTGTTGGGCATTGCTGCCCCCTGTTGGCTAAATGTAGACAATCAGGCATTGTCCATCGGAACTGTCTTTCTATAGACTAAGGACAGGTATTCATAGTTTCGTAGACTCATTGATTTAGAATTAGAAGGACCTGAAGAGATCATCTACTCTAACCTACTCATTTTACATATGAGGAAACCAAGGCCTAGGGAAATGAAGTGACATGCCCATGGTCTCACAGGTAATAAGTGGAGGAGCTAAGATTCATAGATTCATAGAATGGTAAGATCTAGAAGGGTTTTTAGGGATCATCTAATCCATAATGCGCATTTTTCTGTTTATTAGGGACTTTGAACTGTTTTCCAAATTGCTATTAACAGTTTCCTCCTCCAAGAACTGTCTGTTCATATCTTTTGAATAAGCGATACAATAATTAAAAAACATTTATTAAGAGCCTACAGTGTTCAAAACTGGGCCTTGTGGAGATGAAGACAAAAGCAGATCCAGTCTCTGCCCTTAATAAGCTCACATTCTACTGGAGGGACATGATATATATAATTAAATATAATATTTTTTGTAAAAATTTATAAATAATTTAAATATGATTTGAATAAAATTTAATAATTTTTATTAAATATAAGATAATTTGAGGAGGGAGAGAGAACACTAACAACTAGGAAGGAAGATCCAGAAAGGCTTCATGGAAGAGATGGCATCTAAGCTGAGCCTTGAAAGAAGATAAGGATTATAAGAGGTAGGGGTGAGGAAGGAGTAAAGTCTAGGCTTGGGGAATGACAGGTTTGGAAGCACAGAGATGGAAAAGCAGTTAGGGAAAGACTATTACTCATCTGAATTTGTATCCATTTCTTAAAGACTATGGATGTCAGATTTTTATCAGAAATATTTACTGTAAATATTTTTCCCAATCTGTTTCCTTTTATTTTATTTTGGCTACATCATTATTTGTTACACCAGATCCATCTATTTTGTTTTCAACAGTACCTTCCATTTGTTCAATAAATAAGAATTTTCTCTCTTTTTTTTTCCTCTCCTCTTCAGAATTGAGATCAATATAGTATTCTTTTTTCTTCCCATTTTTAATTTTTTTTAAAACTTCTACCAACGCTCTCCTCTAATGAGCTATGGGAACAACCCTGAGTTTTTCAAGGCTATGCCAACTGAGCACAAGCTCTGGCAGAATCTACTGAGCTGGAAAGACTCTGAGCGCTGGCTGGACGAGGGATCGATTGTGTTTGTGGCCAGGTATCATCCTGGCCAAGCTTAGGGAGCTCTTTCCGGAAGGTTGGTCACCAAGCAAGGAGCTTTTTCAACCACTACATCTCATCCAAGACCATCCCATTCATAGACAAGTTTGAATCTGCATTGGTGAAAGGAGTACCCACATCAATGGAATCACTGACCCTGCTGAAATATTAAAATTGATATGTTTAGGTTCACAATCCAGTTGGAATTTATTGTGGTGTGATATGAAGTATGAATCTAAACTAAATTTTTTGCCATATTGCTTTCCTATTTCACCAATAAGTTTTACTGAGGAATCATTTTGATCCCAACATCTTTTCATATCTTTAATCTCTAAATATAATATTATATCTATAGGAAAGAAGGAAAGAAAGTAGCATTTATTAAGTGCTTACTTTGTGCCAGGCATTGGGTTAGGTGCTTTACAAATACGATCTCATTATATATGTGTGCGTGTGATATGTAATACATATCGTCATTTATATGTGTGATATATATTATATATGATGTATCATTATGTATGATATACATCATATGCATATGTGACAGGTATTATATATATATTATATTTTATATATATATTTCATTATATATATATGTGTGAGATGGATACATATATCTATCTCTCACACACACACACACACACACCCACACACACACACACATCTTTCTCCTTCTACAAGAGGCCTTCCTTACTTCCTCATCTCTTCTCCCTTCCCTCCTCCCTGTTCCTAGTGCCTTCCCCCCTCCCATGCCCTCCCATTCACACTTTATCTTTTACATGTGTCCATCTTGTTCACTTGCTGTCTTTCCCATTTGCTCCCAAAGGGCAGGGATCATGTTTTTACCTTTCTTCTCCTCAGGAGCAGCAGAGTGCCTGGCAGATAATAAGCACTTAATAAATGCTGATTGATTGATTTTACTAGACCTGTGGTTTCATCAGTGTCTGGAGCTCCTGGTGAAGACCTTCCTCTACCAATTCAGTGCCTTCTATGAGTTTCTAGTCCTAGAGTGCTACCTACCTGAGATGCTGAAAAATTAAGCGTCCTGCCCAGGGTCACACAGCCAGTATGTGGCAGAGACAGGACTTGAACCTGGCTTCTCCTGATTCCCAAGGCCAGTTCTCTGTATCAGCTATGCCCAGGTGCTGTGTAGGTCTTGTATGTTTGGTTCTTATTCTGAATTTTATTCTATCCCATTGATCTCTTTTTCAGATTTTTAAGAATCTAGTCCACTGTAGTTTTGATAATTACTATTTTATAATATATCTTCAAATCTACTCTCCCACCCTTCTATCTTTACTTTATAGAGGTGAAAACTGAGGTCACCTAGCTAAAACAGAATCAGAACTTGAGTGTCCTGAATCTGATCCAGCATTCTTTCTGCCACACCACACAGTGTCTCATTACAAATAAATAACATCCGCTAAGCCTCCACTCTGTGCTTCACAGTTCTGGGTACACTCTCCCTGCCCTTCGAGAATTAGCAGTCCAGTTTGGAAGACAGAATTTATACAAAAACACAAATAACAATACAACAGTCAAAGAAATGTGTGCACCAGGCTTCAAATGAGTGGCAGAAATAGAGCCTTGAGATGAGAGGAGAGAGATCACTGTGGGCTGGGATGGTTAAAGGATGCTTCTCAGAAGCAGTGGGACCTGAGCTGGGCACTGGAGGGTGGGTGGGGTTTGGAGAAGTAGAAAGGAAAAAAAAGTTGAGTATTGCCAGTAAGGAGATGGCATGAGCAGAGATGGGGAGATGGGAATATACAAGGGGATTGGAGGGGTGACTGAATGAGAAACAGGGAGAGATATTAATGGAGATAGAGAATAGAGCTGGACTGTGGAAGGCCTTAAATACAACGCTGGGGAATTTTGACTTTATCCTGTAGACTATATATTCTGTCCCTCAGCCTTTTCCCCAACCCCTACTGGCCTATCTCTCCCCATAGACTTGAGTCTTTGCCATCTTCTTGGGCTGATGCTCCATGAAGGGGAAATAACCCTGCCTGGATCAGCCTGGGTGAATGACAACCTCTCTTGATGTCATTATCACTCTCTGTAAAATGAGGAGATTAGACCATGTGGTCTCTAATATGTCGACCTCTGTCATTCTAGTTTCTAAGGTTCCTTTTAGGTCTTACATTCTATGTTCTAGAAATCTCTTCCCATTTTAAATCCTATGATCCTGACTAATATGGAAATATGTTTTACATGGTTGCACATATATAACCTATATCAAATTGCTTACTGTCTTAGGGAGGAGGGAAGGGAAAGAGGGGAGGGAGGGAGGAAAAAAATTTGGAACTAAAAAACCTTTTTAGAAAAATAATGTTAAAAATTGTCTTTACATGTAATTGGAAAAAATAAAATACCATTTGAAAAACTCCTATGATCTTTTGAGTTACCACATGGACCTAATGTTACTGGTACTTTCCTCTCTGGGTAAGGTCACTTCTGGTGGCAAAGAATACCAGAAAATGTTCATTGAGCAGGATGAGGTGTTTGGTCCCTGGTGCTACCTACATCTCCCTAGACTAGGCTGCCTTTTAACATATATGTGTTTCTTTAAGGGTGAAAGCGGGCTGCCTGGACAGCTGGGCCCTACTGGCAAGCGAGGGACAGAGGGAGGAACGGGGCTCCCTGGGAGCCAAGGGGGGCCAGGATCCAAAGGCCAGCCGGTGAGTGACTATGGAATGACTCCCACACATTCCCCCACTAATTTAATGTGAGACCCCCAGGGAGAGGGCAGAACTGGGCCTTGGGAAGTCAGCCTGACCCATCTAATCAAGGTTGCTTTGGGGAAGGCGTCCTGCCCTGTCCTGATGGGAAAGGAACAAGGGTGAGGGGGAGAAATGACAAAGTCAGCATTTTACAAACTGCTGTTGGCTGCATGGGAAAAAAACAGCAGCTCAGGAGCTGGGCGACCTGAGTTCTAATTCCTGCTCTGCCGCATGCCAACTTTGACTTGGGCAGCTGGCCCTTAGTCTCCCCAGCTACGAAATGAGTATTACGGTTTCTGCTCATCTTCACTTCACAGAGAGGCACCGGGAGGATCAGATGAGAGATCTGAGAGGATTTGAAAGGGCTTGAAAAATACATAAAGTACTATGTAGATGTTGGTTTTTAAGAAAGAGGGAACTTGAGAGTAAGAAGAAAGAGGACATGGGATTGATTTAACCAGGTTGCTTAGGTCCAGCTGCTCTGAGACCCTCTGCATTGTAGCTTATTAATTCACTAATGGAGAGGAGAACCAAGATTTCTTAGCCTGTTGGGCACCACCATTGCCACTACCTCTTATCCCATGACTTCCCTCTCTCCTGGATCACTGAAGCCTATGTTCCATGCTAGAAACGTACTTAATAATCTGGCTTTGGTAATAAGATGCTGATTGGAGAGTCCCTGCTATCTGGTATTTGAAACCACTAAGGCATTTTTCTAGGAAGAGGGGCAAGGCTCCAAGTCCCAATTTGTGGCTGCTGGCAAGTGGTCCTGGGGGCTGCCACTAATCACAGGCTATGTAAAGATCTTACTGGTTTGGAGATCAGTGACAACCCTCCTTCTATTCTTTCTTCCTCCCCCCTGCCAGGAGGGAACCACAAACTATGGAAAGTGAGGAGGCTGTCATCTAAGAAAGGGAGCCAGTGGTCTGACTAGAGGCCAGGAACTCCTGAGTCCTTTTCTTGGCTCTGGCATAGGCTAGTCTCTTGGCTCTGGTTCATTGCTGCCTTAATTTATCCAGCTGGGAAATGGGAAAATGTCTAGTAACTAGGGCTTAATTCCAGTTAGTATGTGACATTATTTTAAAGTTTCTGACTCTGTCTGAACCTAGGACCAGGGCACTGATCCAATGTTCTCTCTCTCTCTGTCTGTCTCTCTCACACATACACATGCATACACACACACACACACACACACACACACACACACACACACACATACACACTTGGGTTTTTTTTTAAATTTTACTTTCTTGGCAGGGTGACTTTGGAGAAATGGGCTTCCCTGGGATTGCTGGCCTCTTCGGACCCAAGGTATAATACTACCCAGGCCTCATGGCCCTTACAGCCCCCTTAGCTGTGCCAGCTGTGCTCCCATCCTTAGAGGGAGTCTTAAGACCCAGCTCCCAAGGATCCCTCTCATCTCTGCTGACCCCAGGACCTGGCCCCTCACTTAGCTAATCTGACAAATTGATTAGTTGTTAACTTGGACGAGTCACTTAATTTCTCTGAACCTCAGATTCCCCATCTGTAAAATGAGAGGTTTGTATTAGGTCAAGGATTCTTAACGATTTTTGTGTCATGGGACCTTTTGGCAATCTGTTAAATACATAAATAAATGCATAAAATAAAAATATATAAGATTATAGAGGAAACCAATTATACTAAAACACAGTCATCAAAATATAAAAAAAAAAAACAGGTTCATAGACCGCAGGTTAAGAATCTCTGGTCTAAGTTCTCCCCAAGGTCCCCTTCAGTTCTTAGGTTCTATGAGTCCATAGACCTGTTCTGTGGTGCTGGATTTCTATTCATGTTCTACTCCCTGTGCCCCTGGGAAATCTCAGACTGTGGCCAAGGTGGGCAGATTCCTTGGGTCCTGGCAGATCAAATCATTGATACAGCTCCCTCCTAGCTATGGGACCCTATATAGTGGAGTGGAGTGGAACAGATAGAGCAGTGGATAGGAGTTGAGAAGGACTGGGTTCCAATTGCACCTTAGACACTTGCTAGATCTAAGGCCCCAGACAAGGCTCTTAACCTATCAGAACCTCAGTCTCCTCATTTGTAAAGATAATGCCAGTTACCTCACAGGGTAGTTGTGAAGATCAAATGAGACAATATATCAGATAGATAGATAGATAGATAGATAGATAGATAGATAGATAGATAGATAGATAGATAGATAGATAGATGTCTTTGTAAATCTTAAAGCATTATATAAATGTTAGCAATTATTATTATTATTGTCATTATTATCATCCCTGGAACAGCTCCTTTACCTCTTCCAATGGTTGAACAGAGAAATAGGGCAGATTTATTAAACTGGCTGTCTGAATAAGTCCTGTGTGCTCCCTAATCCTTCCATATCTAAAATTGGGTGGTTGTCCCCATCCCATGGGCTCTGGCTCATTGGGATCAAACGTTTCCCTTTCCTTGTTCCCTTCAGGGGCCTCCAGGAGATCTCGGTTTTAAAGGAATCCAGGGTCCCCGGGGGCCACCAGGTTTGATGGTAAGTTTCTCCCCTGAGGAATCTCTCCTGCCCTGCCTTGAGAACGATAGGGCCCACCAGGCAGCCCAACACTGGTGTGTTAGCCTGTGGGCCTCCTTTGCCCTTGAGCAAGGCATTGTCTGATACCTGCCAAGCTGATTTCTCACTAATGGCCAGACAAAGTCCGATGACAATTTTTCCTGATACTCACTTCTGTTTGCCGCCATGGTCTACTTCCTTCTTGCTCCCTCCCCTTCACGCTTCTTCCCCTTTATCTTCCTTCCTGGTCCAGTTTTTTGCCACAAGGTCTATGGCTCCATGTGGAATGCCCTTCCTTCCCCCTCTTCCCTCCTGTGCTAATCTAACCCATTCTTCATCAGCTAGTTTAAGTCCCATCCTTTGTGAAGCTTTTCCCACCAAGGCCCTGCCTTTCTCTGACCACCTACAGTAGTGCTGGTGGACTGCTCTGCTTATGATTTCCCTGAAACCTTCTCTGAGGGCCTTAGCCCACCAAGGGCCCCACTTCTCTTTGGATTCTACAATCTGTCCATGAAACTTAGCACTTTATTGTCTATAGGCTCCTGTCTTGTTTTGTACTCTACTGGTCTTCCTGACAAACTTGTAACCTCTGTGATGGCAAGGTCCAAGTTTTCTGGGTATTGCTTACTTCTTATCCCCAAGATGCCTGCAATGAGGTTGGCCCCAGTAAATGCTTGTTTTCTGACTTTATTCCCTTCTGCTTCCCCATGTCTAGTATTTATCTTTGGTATAGTAGAAAAGACATTGGTCATTAAAGTCAGAAAACATAGGCTCAATTCAGGGGTATACCGGTAAATGTTTAACAACCAGCTCTCCAAGAAAAAAAAATTAAAATATACGTGACACACTTTTAAGCTTAATCTACATTGTTAACATTTTCTGTTTTCTTAAGTCTGGAAATAAAAATAGATATGTTGCAATTTCGTGGTGTGTTGTGGCAGAACCATCTCAAAGAATTCAGTCAGACCACCTCTAGTCCAAGTATAAGGCATTTATTGGGAATGACGCCTCCAAAGAGCTGAGTTCCAAGAGGAACCAGCAACTTGGTAAGACAAGACAGGCAACTTTATAGTGTAATGGTGCTGATTATACAACAGAAATTAAGAATATTAAAAAGGCAGGAGGGGTTTGTTAAGAGATTAAGCAATGGGGGGGGGTCCCTTCTATGGTTCCATGGTCAGACATCCTGGTCATGCTGCTTTCTGATTGGCTAGCTATTGTGGTCCTGTCTAGTCAAGATGGAGAGTTAGGTATTGTGGTCCTGTCTTGGGCTAGATAGATGATGTGATTGTGGTTGAGTACATGGACACACCTGATTAAACATGAGAATTGGATCTGGGGGCAGAGGCTAGCTAGAGGCAGTGGCTGTATTGGGTCTGGGGGAAGATTTATTAAGATTCCATCAGGTAGATAGATAAGCAGATAGATTAGTCAATCAATCAGTAAATCAAGCCCTGACTTACTGTGTTTGCCAAATTCCAAGGCATACATGTCACACTGAAAATTTAACATTCATCTCTCTCAAACCGGTACAAGCTGGTTCCAGCACACCCCTGGTTCAAATCCTAACCCTGCCACCAACTAGTTATGTGACCTTGGGCAAGTCAGCCTCTATGAACATAAATGTCTTCAGCTAAAGAATGACTATAATAATATTTGTAATGCCTATTTCATAAGCTTATGAAGAAAGTACTTTATCACCCTTGTAGCATTATAGAAATGTGAATTATTTTTATTATCATCACTTGTAGACCACCTCCCTCTCTCTGCCATTCTCCATCTTTCCTTCTTTCCCCCACTCCCACTGCTTCTCAGATAAGCAGCAGAGATGTAGTCCAAATTTCTGTTGTAGGCCTTTTGATTCCACAGTTGTATGTCTCTTTTCTACCTTCAGGGAAAAGAAGGTGTCACTGGACCCTTGGGGATCCTGGGCCCATCTGGAATTCCGGTATATGTTCTTATTTTGCTTGATAAGAAGCCAGGGTCAGACCGTTCAGGCCCAGGGAGGGGAGGTGGAACTGAGGGGTCTCAGACCTTCTTTGTGATCAGAGTGAATCCCCACTCCCTTTCTTAAGCCTCAGCTTCTCCATATGTGCGACAAGGCATCCCAGGTTAGGCCCAGAGGCACCAAAAACTTCCAGGTCTTAACCTTGCTGTGTGGTTTGTCCACAGGGTCCAAAAGGAAACAAAGGAAGCCGAGGAGATTTGGTAAGTGGCCTGAGGAAGAGCTGGTGGTGGGGAGTCACCAAGGCCTGGGAACAGAGGAGCAGCCTGGGTGCCTGGGTCTGCACCTTTAACCAACTTCTTCTGTTTTATTTCTTTCTTTCAAGGGATTACAAGGCCCAAGGGTGAGTAGGGAGTAAGGAGTAGGGGAGGGAATGGGAGGAGGAGGGGAAGGGAGATGGAAACCTAAGGGGAACTTGATGACATATGATCAGAAACAAAGGAATGAGGAGTACTGATGGACCAAGAGATGTGTTAAAGATAATGGAATGTGCCATTAAATCCAGCCAGCCAGCCCATGTCTGATTCACTATTCACATAGCCTTGGCCCCTCTAGGCATCTCCAAATCCAGTCTTGTCCCCAGTAGGACTAGTCAGACCAAGGAAACCTCAGAGTCTCATTTCTCTCCACCTACTCCACCATGAACACCTTAGTCAGAATTCTATCTCCACCCCAGGTTAGACCAGAGATAGCCCAGCACCAGGCTGGCCTATAGTAGACATACACATGTACAGGACCTTGGGGCAGTATGGCGTGGTGGATAGAATGTTGAATTTACAGTCAGGAAGCCCTGGGGTGGAATCCTGCCTTATTATTTGTATGACACTGGGCAAGTCACTTAAGTTCTCCAGGCCTCATTTCTTCAGTGAGAGGACCAAGATTCAGTGACCTGTAAGATGACTTTCAGCTCTAAATCTCTGATCCTGTGACCTGTTTCTGTTTGAATTCCATCCCCACCCGGGGCTAGACTGGGGGGCTCAAGAAGCACTTGGCCCTTTACCCTGTACTTCTCTCTCCCCTGCAGCCCCCCAGGGTGGGCAGTGGGTAAATGGGGAAGAGGGTTAGGAGTAACTAAAGCCTTGTTTTTGATGACAAAGACCAGCTGACTCCACACTCATCTCTCTCTAGGGTCCTCCCGGCCCCCGAGGACGTCCCGGCCCACCGGTAGGTATACCAGCACTTTTCAATGGGCCCTAGAGTGGGGAAGATGAGGAGAGCAGAACAGCTATGAGTCCCTTGTCCTGGGATCAGATCCAGGAAGAATAGTGGCTTTCCTTGGCCTAATTAAGCTCTCCTTCCTCCTGTCCTTCCATATCATTACATCTGCACAGGCCCTGAAGACTACTCCGCGTCCTCCCCATTTCCACCCCCACTTCCCCACTATGCAAAGGGGGAGCCAGTATGGATCAAGCACAATACCCATTTTCTTTTTTTTTTTTCAGGGCCCTCCTGGGATCCCCATCTCATTTGTAAGTTGGGAATTTGTTTTTCTAATTTTACTTGGAAGGAGTTTGGTATAGTAGAAAGAGCACTGAATTTAGGGTCAGAAGGCCTCCGTTTAACCACCAGTTCTGCTATTTGCCACCTAAGTGACTCTTGGGCAAGACAGTTCCGCTGCCTGGGCATCAGCTTCTCCACCTGTAAAATGAGTGTAGTTACCTGGAAGGTCCCTTCTGGCTCCACGTCCTGTGATCCCATCAGCCTGATGGTTGAGGGGTCCCCTTGTTAAGAAATCGGGGAGCCTTTCAAAGTGAACTGAAAGGCTCCGACAGAGTGGATGAGCATGACTCCTGATACACTACCCCTGATTATAACCTTTCTCTCTTTTCAGCCTAACAGTTCCTACTTCCCCTGCCTAGATTTAGACTCTGGTGGTATTGTGGAAAGAGACTGCACTTGTAATGACCTGGGCTGGAATGTCACATCTCTAGAAACCTAAGTTTCTTCCTTTGTAAAATGAGGATGATAATACCCATAGTGGAGCGTTGTGGTGATAGTCCAATGACGTAATGTCTGCAATGTGCTTTGAAAGTTTTAACATGCCTTATGAATGAAAGGGAGTTATTGATATTATTACCAGTCAGGTGTGTGCTATTTTAACCACTTGAGAACAATATCAGTGTCCACAGGAATCTCTGAATGAGGGAGAGGGAGAGGCACTGAGCTAAATTTAAATACTTTGCAAACATTACCTTATTTGATTCTCACAACAACACTGTGCTTTTATTATCTTTACTTTACAATTGGGGAAACTGAGGCAGACAGTAGGTCAGTGATTTTCGCAGAGTCACACAGCTAGTAAGCATCTGAGGCTGGATTTGAACTCATCTTCCTGATTCCAGGCCCAAAGATCTCATCTATTATATCACTGAGCTAGTGAATCATTACTAAGAAGTAGAAGAAGGATGATGATAATGAGGATGATGATATCTGAGGACCATTTCTCTCTGAACGCCATTGAAAAAGATGAGAAGGGGGCAGCTAGGTGGTGCAGTGATAAAGCACCAGCCTTGCAGTCAGGAGGACCTGAGTTCAAATCCAGCCACAGACCAAACTCTTGACACTTACTAGCTGTGTGACCCTGGGAAAGTCATTTAACCTCAACTGCCTAAAAATAAAAAATTTTAAAATTTAGAAGAATTCAAAATTCAAAAAAAAGAAAAAGATGAGAAGGAGATAATAATAGTCAACAATGAAATTAAAGTCATGTGGGAATGGGATGGAGTCCCTATCATCTCTGTCATAATTTATAATGCTGAATTTATTTAAAGATGCTTTCAGTGAACCTTTTGAAGATAAGTTTACATCCTAATACTTTTATTCAACAGTGGATATAAGCACTGTACTCACATTCAGGGAGACTGGGTTCAAATCCAGCCTCAGACACTTGCTAGCTGTGTGACCTTGGACAAGTCATTTAACCTCAGTCTGCCTCAGTTTCCTCAACTGTAAAATGGGGATGATACTAGAGTTGTTGTAAGGATTGCTATGATAACATGTATACAGTGCTTTGCAAACCACAAAGCACTAGCTAAATGCTAACTACAGTTATTATTTCAGTGAGGATTTTTAGGATTATTATTACAGAAAGCAGTTATTTTATCTACTTATATAATAGCCCACAGAACATTAAATATAAAAGAATAACAGTAGAGTAGTATCTTGTCCCAGAACTGTTTCTATTCAGTCTCTACTGAGCAAGATGACAAGAATTGTATAAGAATAATAATATCAACAACAACTCATATTTAATTCTTATAACTCACATAAAATTGTTTAAAGTTTGCAAAGTGCTTTAAATAATTTCATTTAATTTCAGTTAATTAGCTTGTTTTGATCCCAAGAAAAACAAGGCTCATTTAGAACCCACTGTGGACCCCTTTGCCCCACTGTCCTGAGCATTTAGCAAAACTTGTAACCTAAAAGTATTTCCCAGAGACCAAAAATGTCTTAAGAGCCTACAAAGAAGGAAAGATTTGAGATTAGGGCTCTTCATCCTCATGCTATGAGTTGGCAAGGGAAGTTGGGCCGAGGCTATTCCAGCCTCTATGGCTCAGATGAGCTTGGCACCTGAGTACATCTCTCCCTCTTCACAGCAGCAAGATGACCTCGGCACAGCTTTTCAGACATGGATGGACTCCAACAGTGCACTTAGGACAGAGGTAGGGTTGACATAAGTCATGTTGGGTGCACCGCCCTCTGCAGCTGCCTGTTTTCCATACTTGGATTAAAAAACCCGTAGACTTCCTGGGGCTGTTGGTCCCTCTGCCTTAAGCCTCTTTGACCATCCCTTCTCCGGGAGAAATAATCCTGGCTTCCCTCCATAGGTTTTGGCAAACATGCTAGGGAGAGAAAGTGAGGCAACATTGTTGTTCAGTCATTTTCAGTCATGTCCGATTCTTCGTGACCCCGTTTGGGATTTTCTTGGCAAAGATACTGGAGTGGTTCGCCATATCCTTCTCCAACACTTTTGACAGATGAGGAAACTGAGGCCAACAGAGTTAAGTGATTTACCCAGGGTCACACAGCTAGTAAGCGTCTGAGGCTGGATTTGAACTCAAGAAGATGAGTCTTCCTGACTCTAGGCATAGCATGCTAAACATTATGGCACCACCTAGCTGCCCCCGTGGCAGCATGGCATGTGAGCAATGTGTAGTAGTTCCAAATATAGTATCCTAGAAGTTAGGAGATTTGAATTTTAGTCCCACATCTGCCACTTCATCACTGCATGACTTTAGGCATTACTTTCCCTTTCAGGGTCTCAGTTTCCATCTCTTTCAAAAGATTATGTCATTATTTCCCATACTGTGTTCCATGGAATCTTTGCATTCTCTCTGCAGTGACCAGAGCTTCCATACTAGGGATTTTTTTTGGCTTCAAAATATTAAGTATAAAATTATATATAAAAATATTTTTATTTGTAGCAATCTGGGAGGAAATGAAAATTAGTTTTTTAATCTATCTATAGATAGATTAGATTAGATTAGATTCTAAAATGGTGTCTTTTATTCTGAGTATATGCCATGCCCTTACCTGTATGGGTTCCATGTAAACCTACCTTTATGGGTTCCATCAGTATAATTACAACCTCAGTATATTCTGTAGTCAAATGACTTTGGAAAATGTGATGCCAGATGATCTTTAAGGCTCTACCCAGTGCTAATATTCTGTGATGTTGTGATCTATTACATACATATACCTGCTGTTCTGTCACCTTTTCTGGGAGGTCTCTTGGGAATATACTAGCTTGGTAGTTAGGAGATTTGGGCTACAGTCTTTTCCACCCCCTTTTTACCAACCAAATATCTCTGGTCTCTTTCTATTACTCCCTGTTCCCACCTTTGCCCCCAACTCCTTGTAGCTGAACACTAATTAATTCAGAATCCAGACCAGCGTTTGGCAGGAGTGGACATGGAGTGACTTGGAATCCAAAACAGATACTCATAAACCCCTCAGGCTCTTTGTTCTATGGTTGGCCCCCTTCTTCCAGAGTCTGCTTACCATTGGAGGGGTGGAGAGGAGTAGAATGTGTGCTTCTGTTGCTAGTTCTCTCATTTCTTGGGAAAGTATGATCCAGTTTCCAGCTCATACAGTACTGGTGTGGCCAAGCGATCAGCAAGGGGAATGCTAAGCAACATCTGGCCACAGACAGTTTTTAAGAACCCTATTTGGCTAACTTGAGGCAAGTCACTTCCCTAGGTTTACTTCATCATCTGTAAAATGGGGATATTAGCCTCTCCTGCCCTATCTGCCTCATAAGATTTTTAAAGTTTGAATGAGATCATGGGTTTGAAGGCTCTTTGAAAAGTATAAAGTGCTGTAAGGTCAGAAAACACTATAATGATTATTGCTACAAAGGATTTGGCCCACAGAAGGAAGGTGCAGGCACTATATTGAGCACTTTTTACAAATATCCCTTTTGATCCTTGCAACAGTCCTAGGAGCTGGGTGCTATTATTATTCCCATTTTACAGTTGAAATTGAGGCAGACTGAGGTAAAGTGACTTGCCCGGGGTCACATAGCTAATAAGTGTCTCAGACCAGATTTGAATTCAGGTCTTCCTGACTCCAGGCCCAGGGCTTTATCCACTGCACCACCTAGCTGCCCATGTTACCTGTGACTGCCCAAGGGACCCCTAGCCTACCCTCCATGTCTGGTGGGTCTCTCTAGTAATGGCTGGAAGAAGGAGAAACAGGTGCCCATCTTGAGCAAAAGCAGTAGAAGCTTGATGTCTAGAATGATGGAAGTTACTGTCCCACTGTATCTTGCCCTTCCTTCTCCAGCTCAATTTTTACAGAGGAGGAAACTGAGGCAAACAGAGTCAAGTGACTTGCCCAGGGTCACACAGCTAGTAAGTATCTGAGGCCAGATTTGAACAAAGGAAGATGAGTCTTCCTGACTCCAGGCCTGGTGCTTTATCCACTGTGCCACCTAGCTGCCTCCTGGACCTCATCTAACCCATCCCAAAACTGAATAGGAATGCCTCTTCCAACATCTCTGACAAAGAGAGGTTCAGCCTCTGCTTGAAGACTTCCTTACAAGGAGCTGAAATCTGCCTTTCTGTACCTTCTAGCCATTCCTTCTAGTTTGGTTTTCTGGGGCCAAATGGGTAAGTTTAAGTCTTCTGTGACACAGCCTCCCTTCAGATAGCTGAAGATTGCTATCAGGTACCCCTCACGTCATCTCTTCTCCAGCTGAACATCCTCAGTTCTCTCACCTGATCCTTCTGTGGTATAAGCTCCCGCCCTCTCACCATCCCCCAGATTATCTCCAGTGTGTCAACATGACTTAAAATGTGGCACCCAGAATCAAACCCTCTGTTACAGACATGGCTCAACCATGGAAGAGCATGATCACTTTCTGTATGCTGGACATTGACTCCATCAGTGTGGCCTACAGTTATGGTAGCCTCTAGGACTCTTATGCCACACCGCTGCTTACAAGTCATGGAACACTATGGTCTCAGAGAATCCAGATTTGTAGATAGGACAGTGACTGTATGGGTTGGGCACATAAAGTGTCTGTGACATGTCACCAAGGATAACTTGTGTGTAAGAAAAGGTTGAGAGCATCCTGTCTAAGAAATCTAAGATCAGAAGAGGAGCTGGGTCAGCTCCCCTGGTACAAATAGGGGAGAAGAACCCAAGTGATGTGCTGGTATCCATGGAATGTTCACAGGCCAAGAAGAAGGCCCCTAGGGCATTGAGTGGATCCTCTGTGGATAATTTCTGGGAGAACAAGAACAAGGAGAACACAGTAAGAGAGGAGGCAGATAGCAGGTGATCTCTATCATTGAGGAAGTATTCACATTAATGAAATGACTAGTCCATTGAAGTATTTTGACATACTTGTCACTGTGGGGTGCTTGTAGTTCACTGAAACCCCCAGATCTTTTTCAAGTGAACCGGTGTCTCACCATAATTCCCTAATCTTGTACTTGTGCAATTTGTTTTGTTTTGTTTTGTTGTAACCCAAGTAGGGTTTATATTTATCCATATTAAGTTTCGTCTTATTAGAGCCAACCGTTCAAGCCTGTTGAGATTTGGGGGGATACTAAATCTTTCAGTCAACACATTAGTTATTCCTCCCAGCTTTATGTCATCTGAAGATTGGATAAGATTTCCATTTATGCCTTCATCCAAGTCATTGATAAAAATGTTAAACAGTCCATTATCAAAGGTAGATCCCTGGGGCACTCCACCAGAGAGATCCTTCCAAATTGACATCAATCCACTAATTCTTTGGATCTTGTCATTCAGTTAGTTCCAAATCTACCTAAATGTACTATCACTGGGGCAGCTGGGTGGCGCAGTGGATAGAGCACTGGCCCTGAAGTCAGGAGGACCTGAGTTCAAATCTGGCCTCAGACCAAACACTTGACACTAGCTGTGTGACCCTGGGCAAGTCACTTAACCCCAACTGCCTTGAATAAATAAATAAATAAATGAATGAATGAATGAATGGATGAATAAATAAATAAATAAATAAGCGAATAAGCAAATAGATAAATGAATGAATGAATGAATAAAAGAATATACAAAAATACTTTGAAAAATTTAAAAAAATAAATGGACTATCATTGAGTCCACATAGTTCCAAAGAGATCTTGTCAAATACTTTGCTAAAATCCAGATGTACTGTATTTATGGCATTACCTTGAACTACCAGTCTAAAGTAACCCTAGGAAAAAGGCATTGAGGTTAGCATTTTCTGCCCTACAACTTTTCCCCCATCCCTATTTGAAAAACAAGAGATTTGGAACAAATGTGCAGTCAATCAAAATAAATTTCTGTATTGTCCATGTCCAAAAAAGTATGTCTCCTCCTGTGTACTGAGCCCATCTCCTCTCTGTCAGGAGGCTTCTTCCCTGATCCTTTGGGATCGTGGTTGTTTATTGTGTTGGTCAGAGTTCTTAAATCTTTCAAAGTTGTTCATCTTTACAATAAGCCTATCACATCTGAAGAGCTGTATCTCCTTCAAAATATTGGTTTATACAGGCTATCCCCAAAGTCTTTAGCAGCTAAAGCTTAAAACTACACCAAGACTTTTGGGACAGTAATAATAATAACAATAATCATAATCATAATCATAATCATAATAATTGCCAGGCACTATGCTAAGTGCTGTTATTATGTCATTTGATTCTCACTACCAAACTAGGAGGTAGATACTATTATTATCCCCATTTTAGAGATGGACAAACTAAGGCAAACTTGCCCAGGGCCACACAGCTAGTAAGTATCTGAGGCCAGATTTGAATTCAGGTTTTCCTGACTCCAGGCCCAGGACTCTATCCACTGTGCTACCTCACTACCTCATTAAAAAGCAAGTTTTGATGAATTTAGCTTTTCCTTATTCCAGAGACATCATTCATATCTTTTGATCATCTGTCTATTGAGAAATGGCTTTTAGTCTAATTTATGTATGTTAATTCCTAATGTATCTTGGTTATCAGAGCCTTGCCAGAAATACTAGATATAAAGATTTGTTTTCCAAATAGACATCTTTCTTTCTTATCCTGGCTGCATTAAGTTTGTGCAAAAACTTTTCCATTTCATGCAATCAAAACTATTGATTTTTTTCTTTTGCGATTGCCTCTGTTCCCATTTGATGAAGAACTCTCCCCTTAGCCATATCCGGTCTTATTCTCTGCTGATATTTTTTGTGCCATGACCCTTAATATTCAGGTCATGTATGTATTTTGAGTTTATTGTGGTATGTGATGTAAGACGTTGGATGAAACCTAATTTCTGCTTTCCAGTTTTCCTAGCAGTTCTTGTCAAATAGTTCTTCACTAAGTAATTTATACTCTTGTGTTTATTGAACTGGGTTATTGAGTTTAGTTGTTTCTGGTTCTTCCTTTCTAGTCTGTGCTGCTTATCTGCTTTTCTGTGTGTGTGTTTTTTTAACCAGGACCAAATATTTTGATGATTATGACTTTATAGGAGAAGTTGAGGTCTGATACACTTATTCCCTCTTCATTACTTACTTTCTTTCATTATTTCCCTTGAGTTTCTAGACTTTTAGTTGCTCCAAATGAGTTTTGTTATTATTTTGTCTAGCTTTATAAAGTACCCCCTCTTCTACGTTTTTTTCAAAGATCAGCAACAACAGCTCAATAATCACATTTCCCAATTCTTTTAGTGTCTTGGGATGTAATTCATCTGGGCCTGGTGATGTGAACTCCCTAAGGGAAGAGGGAAGCTCTCTTACCATGTCTTCACTTGGGTTTCAGCTCTGTATTGACTATACGCTCTCTTTCTTTTCTAGTTTCAAAGATCGTTCTCCTTGCTGGAGGAAAAAAAAAATAAGTTTTTCTTCCTGTCATTTGTTGACATTGCCTCATTGTTCTCATTGCCCCAGGACTGTGTGGAGTTCTGGGCACCACATCTTAGAAGGGATGTTGTCGAGCTATGGTGCTTCCAGAGGACCAAGATGGGGAGGGCACTGGCACCTGCAGCTTAGAAAGGTTATTAGAATGAACTGGGACATGTTTAACCTGAAGGAGGGAAGACTTCCGGGGAATATAATCTCTGCCTTCAAATATCTGAAGGGCTGTCCTGTGGAAGAGTGTTATGCTTGGCCCCAAAGGGCAGAGCTAGGAGCAATAGGTGACTGGTGGAAGGTCCAGAGAGGCATATTTTAGCTCCACACAAAGAAGAATTCCCTGATCGTTCAGACTGTCCAACAATGGAATAAATTGACTCTAGAGCCATTGAGTTCCTTGTTGCTGGAGGGATTGAAGTGGAAGCTGGCCTGAGATCTCAGGGAGGAGATCCATATAATATGTTTTTGTCGCTGGAACCGACTTTATTTAACTCTCAAAGGTGGTACAGCATAGTGAGTACAGCAGCAGTCTTGGAGTCGGGGAGACCCGAGTTTGAGTCCCCCCTCTGAGACATTGCCTGTGTGAGGAGGGGCAAGCCCCCTAATCTCTCTGCTCTCCTAGCAGCTCTTTAGGATTCGGGGCTACAAGTGCATTGCCTAGCTGCCGTGCGTACTTCAGTATTCCTAAGATTCTGTGCCTCTGTTGCTCCAGTCCTCCTTTTCTTGCTTCCCTCCCAGCAGGGCTACTCCCATTCCGACCTCCTGGTGTTGGACCAGGGTGGGGAGATCTTTAAGACCTTACACTACCTCAGCAGCCTCATCCAGAGCATCAAGAAGCCTCTAGGAACCAAGGAGACCCCAGCCCGGATCTGTCGGGACCTTATGAACTGTGAGCAGAAGATGGCCGACGGTAAGGGCAGGAGCCCTGTTTTCTTCCCCAGCTCCCTCACTGTGGCCAGTGAGATCACAGGGAGACCTGCTGATGGGCCCGCTGCTAGAGGGCACCCCATAACCCTGAGACTTGGTGGGAAAGCCCCACCTCGTGACCATCTCTCCCTGTCTTTTCCTTGGTTTTTTTTCCCTTCTTCCTTCTCCTCTTTCTCCTCCTCCTCCTCCTTCTCCTTCTTCTCCATCTTCTCCTTCTTCTTCTTCTTCTTCTCTTCTTCTTCTTCTTCTTCTTCTTCTTCTTCTTCTTCTCCTCCTCCTCCTCCTCTTCCTCCTCCTCCTCCTTGTTCTTATTATTATTATTTTTCTTCTTTTCTCTCTTCTTTTCCTTCTTCTCCTTTCTATATTCCTCTGTCTCCAATGTCTGCTTTTCTCCCTTTCTTATTTCTCCTCTTCATCCCTTTCTCAACTTTCTTCCTCTTCTTTGGGTTGCCTTCCCTGCCCTTGCCTTCCTCTCTTTCCTTTGACCTCCTTCCCCTGCTCTCCTCACCTGTTCCCTTCCCTCACTCCCTCTTCTCCTTCTTGCTTTTCTTCTTCCTCCTTTCCTTTTCTTCTCCTCCTCCTTATCGTTCCTTTCTCTCTTTTCTCTTCCCCCACACCCCTGACCATTGGTGTTCAGAGACACCAGTGAGTCCTTCGAGTTTGTCCCAATGTGACCTTTTATTCCACGCTTAGATCAATGATCTCTGGTGCATCTCACAATGGAAACCCATGTTTTGATATCACCCAACCAACTACCCTGCCTTCATCTGGCTCCTGGAAGATTGGAGGCAATCTCTGTTTAAGATCTATTTTTGTCATTTGCAGAGGCTCGACCTACAGATGTTTCCATAAGGAACAAAATGATGACCTTATGCCTCTGGCAACCTCATTCTTTGGCCTAGCCCAGACATTTGACGTTTCCTCCCCTATCCCTACACACCAGCAACACCAGTCATTGGAGCTTTCCTTCCTTTGAATAAGGGGAGGAGGGCTTCTAGGAGCTGAGGCTCCCAAAGTCCCCTCTGACTCTTTATTGTGCCCTTCCGCACTCTTACCCCGATGCCATCGCATCCCATAGGTACATACTGGATCGACCCAAACCTTGGCTGTTCTTCAGACACCATTGAAGTGACCTGTAATTTTACCAAAGGTGGGCAGACATGTCTCCGGCCCATCACTGCTTCAAAGGTATGAAGCAAGTAGAGGTGATGACCCCCTTCTTCCCCCCCTTCTCAGGATGGCCTGGCCCAAAGAACCATGTCTCCAGCAGAATGTAGCTTCCTTCCCTGCCCCTGGGTGGTAGTGGCTCAGCTTGGCCTTCCCCAAACCTGGAGGTCAGGAGTCATAGGACCATGGAGTTTAGAACTAGAACAGCCATAGTGGGCATTGAGTCCAGCCCCTCTTACTTTACAGAGAAGGAAACTGAGCCAGGAGAGATGAAGTACCTTGCTTAAGATCACAGAGGGAGTAAATTGCAGAGCTGAGGTTTGAACTCAGGCCTTATCCAATGTACTGTTCACCATCCCATGCCTACGAGAGGCCTTCATTCTAGTCTTGGCTCCATTAGTAACTGGCTATCATGAACTGGACAAATCATTTGTCCTCCTGGCCCGTTGGCCTCCTCCTCTTTTTTCCCAAGATAAATGGCACCCTATGGAAAGGGGCTACCCTTTATCTATCAAGTGAAGGAGAAAATTCCTGAGGGGAAGTCCCCATTGAACCTCAGAGGGGCTGTAACAAATCATTTGTGCTCTTTGTACCTCAGATTAGATCTTTTGGGAAGGAGGAGATCTGTGGTTCTCAAATTCTTTAGGTTCCCTGCAGAAAGATGTGATTTTTCTCAGAAACTTGTCAGGGTAACTAAGTTTGGGCATAGCCTTCTGTACTTTCACTCAAGCTGCCTGAAAGGAAGAAGGTAGGGACTGGATTCAGTAGCCCCGAAGGGTGATGGGCCTCAGTCACCACAACTACACAGGAACCATGGTCTAGATAGGCCATGGAGAGGCAGGCAGGGGAAGCTGGCTTTCTCCTCATTAACACCTAGCACTAAGAATCTTCCCAGCTCTGGCCTTTGAAATCTCCCTTGTCCTGTCTTCTGCTCCCCAGGGAACCTCATAGTAACCACAGCTCCCACCCTGGTAGGAGTCCCTGCTAATGACCCATTTAAAAAATAGGCCCTTTTCCATGTCTTCGGTCCACCCCTGAAGATCTCCCTCCCCACAAAAGGGACTGTTCTTACAGCCTTACTCCTACACCACTCAGAACTTAGAAGTACCATTCCTGAATCCTTCACAACTGTTGAAGGCCACTAGGTGGTGTTGTGGATAAAATGTTCAACTTGGAGTCAGGAAGACTTGAGTTTGAATGCTGCCTCAGGAAGTTATTACCTATGTCATTACCCTGGGCATGACTTACCTCGTTCAGTCTCAGTTTCCTCATCTGTAAAATGGGGATACATAAAGCACCTACCTCATAGTGTGGTTGTGAAGATCAAAGGAGAAAACCTGCATAAAAAACTTTGCAAGCCTCAAAGCACTATATGAATGGTTGCCATAATAATTATAATTGTAATATTAATTATTATTATTATTAAAGCTGTCACTGAGGTGAGGGGACATTTGGGGGAGTAATTCACTCCAAATCACAGTTCCTTTCTGATTTTCTGCCAGCTCCCTTCCCTGTGCTCCCAGTGTGATCTGCACTCACCAGATCTCCAATGCCATTGGGTATGGCCCCTTACCATTCATTGTCCTGGGCCAGAGTCCAGTTGTAGACCTCCTCTGATGCTCCTAGCCCCCATAGTGCTATTAGCATATAAGGTGGCACATGCAGTTTTAGATGAAGGTCGTAGCATTTTTCATAGAAAGCCTTGGGTTCTCTGGACTGGGATCCCTCTGCACAGAGAAGGGAGTAGAAAGGGCAGGCAGACAAGTTATGTGGTTAAGTCCTTGGCAGGGACAGGGAGGGGTATCAGTCTTTTTGGGGTGGGTGCAAGAAAAAGATCCATTTTGTAAGTGGTCCATTAGCCAGGGCCCCTATTGAGATCAGGTTATTGTGAGGGGCCCTGGGGAGCAACAGATGGAGGGAGTGAAGGGGAGATTCTCTAGACCTTAGAGATCACCTGACCCCATTCCCCCATTTTACAGGTGAAGAAACTCAGAGAGGTTGAGTGATTTGCCCAGGGTCAACCAGTGAGTTTGTATCAGAAAGGGAACTAGAAGCCAGGTCTTTGTATTCCCAGATCAGAGTTCTCTCCACTCTACCCCATGTCTCTGTTGCTGTAACCAAGGGCGTTGTCATCATCTTTGTACCAGAACAGTCAATTATTGTTTCACTGATTGGAAAATCTGAGTTCTATGAAACCCCAGTGACTGGACCCAATATCCTATAGCCAAGAGTGTGAATCCTGAGCCTTGAACTCTGAGCCCCTGGGTGTTTAGTCTTCTGTATTCCCTGGGCTGGTGTGGGAAGTAATGTGACCACCAAGACCCTGCTTAGGAAAGGAGTGGGCATTGGGGCCATCCAGGACGCATGATAGACGTTCGTTCAGGTGGGAGGCAGCGTGGCACGTTGGAAAACAAAATGAATGTGGAGTCCACGCTCATTCGCATCCAGTGGTCATGACCCTCCTGGCCCATTGACCCCCTGCTCCCTTCCAGGTGGACTTTGCTGTTGGTCGGGTCCAGATGAATTTCCTTCACCTGCTGAGCTCTGAGGTGATCCAGCACATCACCATCCACTGCCTCAACGTGCCCGTCTGGCAGGAAGGGACAGGCCGGGTGTCCCCCAAACAAGCCGTGCGCTTCCGAGCCTGGAATGGGCAGATCTTTGAAGCCGGGGGCCAGTTTGAGCCAGAGGTGTCCTCAGATGATTGCAAGGTAAGGAATCAGCGCGCGCCCCCCCCCAGCCTTATATATTGATGTTCAGTCATTTTCAGTCACTTCCAACTCTTGGTGACTCCATTTGGGGTTTTCTTGGCAAAGATACTTGGAGTGGTTTGCCATTTCCTTCTCCAGCTCATTTGACAGATGAGGAAACTGAGGTAAACAGGGTGAAGTGACTTGCCTAGGGTCACACAACTCATAAGTGTCTGAGCCTAGATTTGAACTCAGGAAGATAAGTCTTCTTGATTGCAGGCCTGGCATTCTATCCACTGTGCCACATAGCTGCCCATGAGCCTTGTACATAGTCTGATGCAAGGGTAGGGAACCTCGGCCTCAACCCAAACTTTAGTCAAAGGGCTGCACTTGAGGACCTAGAGGGCCACATGTGGCTTCAAGGCCACAGGCTCCCCATCCCTGATAGAAAATGCAACTCTCTTTTCAGGAGAGAGTGAGAAAGGTATGGGCTCCATTCATTTTATCGACTATTGGGATATGCCTCCTAAGGGGAGGGTTGGGCTGGTAGAAGAGACTGTGAATCCAGTTTGGGAAGCTGACTGGAGAAGTCCACATTTCTCTCTCTTTTGCTGACACCACTTTGGACCTCTTTGCTTATTCCCTGCCCTAAGCATTCTTGCTTCCCTCCAGACCTGTCCTCAGAAATTTGGGAAGGAGTATAGGTTATCCTCATCTGTGGAGTCTCACTAATGTCTTTTCATTACCCGTCATCTGATTAGTCCTTTCCTTCCTGGTCCCCAGGTTCAAGATGGCCACTGGCACCAGACACTGTTCACTTTCCGGACACGAGATCCCCATCAGCTGCCCATAGTCAGTGTCTACAACCTCCCACCAGCTACCCCTGGGAAGCAATACCGCCTGGAAGTTGGAGCTGCGTGTTTCCTCTGAACTATGACCTCCATGCCACTCCATGTCATTCCAGGCCTCTGTGGATCCAGGACATGGGGAGGATGAACATGGAGGAGGGAGTGTCCAACCCTCTTCTGCAGAGGCAGCTGGGCCAGGGGAAGGAAGAGGAGGAGGTGCCCACACCCTCTCCATCTCCAAAGTGGGCTGAGTGCCTACTGATACACACTCCACCCCTGCCTGGAGAAGGCCCATGGACCCTAGGACAGGCCATGCTTGTCATCTGCAGGGTGGAAGCACGTGTGGGGCATCAGGGGAAGGGATGGCCCTGGGATAGGCTGTCCCGGGGTCAGCCCTAGCCAGTAGCTATGAGGATGAAGGTGTGAGGTCCGCCCCAAGCCATCCCATCTCCATCCATCAACCAAAGAACCATCCGAAAGTGGTGGCAGCCACAACCCAACCCGCATTCCCCTATTTCTCTGGTACCAAGTCTCCAAGTCTCCCAGACCCTTCCCTCCCCAGTTCTCTGCCAGGCAGGGAAAGAGGGACTGAATAATTCAGGCTCTTCAGTAGCTTTAGAAAAGGGTCGGGGTTGGGTAATCTTTCCCTTCACTCCCTGCCAGGAAGCTTTTGATGTGCAATATTAGAAAAGATGGATGAAACAGGAAAAAAAAAGTATAAATATATATATATTTTTATTTAAACAAAGAAAATAGGAAATTACTGCTCTTTCCCCATAAGTGGCCACCTAATGTCCCACAATGGGAAGGGAGAGTGGGGGGAAAAAAGAGAGCAAAAGGGAAAGGCGGGGAGGGTAGGGAAAGAAAAAAAAGGCACTATAAATGATCAAGTGGAAAGATCTTAGGGGCCAGGATGAACATGTTTGCTACCTCCCACTGTGAACTCGCTGGTGCTCAAAAATCATGTTGTATTGTATGTGATTTTTTTTAAAAAAAAAAAAAGGAAAACTAAGACGCATCGTATTTAAGGTTCCGAAGGTGCTATTCCTTTAGTGGCAGTCTCTGAAGAAACTATCTGATGTGGAAAATGCCCACATCTGCTTCTCTCCCCAAACAAAATGACAGAGGTTTGGGGAATGCCTTTTCTCCCTTTTTCTTCAGCTAGTCTGCAGAAGAAAAGAAGCCAAAAACCAAAAAAAAAATTTTTTTTAAACAACCTAAAAAAACCCCAAGCCTACCAGCAGTAGAGATCTACCTTTTAACTTAAGTATGTGGAAGTATTTTAAAGGGACATTCTCTCCTCTTAGGGTGGCAGGGATGGAAGGGGCTGGGGAAGGGACCTCAGTTGTTAAGCACCAGGGGCTGGAAGGGAGATAAGAACTGACCCATCTTCTCCTGTGGGAGGGTGGGAGTGCCTGCTCAGTCCATCTCCATCCCTGGACACTGAATAGATGTTGGCAAAAGCCCTGCCGGTTAGGGACTGGGCTTCGGAGACTGAGTGGGAAATCTTAAGGGCTGTCTTTCTGTGCTGCCTGACAGACCACTCCCAGGGTGCCTCCCTCCACCTATCCTCGGCACCCTTTCGAACCCCAGCAGTCCAGCATCACTCTGGGAGCTTTGTCCTTTCAAGAGTTGTGTGTGTTTTATTGTGTTGTCGTGTTTTTTTTTTAATTGTCACTGTTAAGTTTTGTAGAAATCTTACGTCGCTAGTCTCTATGTGTAAATTTGGAATGAACAAAAAGAGAATAATTACGGTAACCACGGAAGTCTCTATAAGGGTAACATTATTACTGTAAGCCAAGCTGTACTATATTGGAAAAAGCTTCACTGCTTGGGTGGTTGGCATTTTTGTGTTTCGAGGTTATTCTGAATATGGGATTCTTTTGTAGAACGGGAAGATTATATGTGAAAGTCTTTATTTGTGTATATTGGGAGAGGGCATTGTCTCTCTTTGGGGTTTAAATCTGATTTTTTTTTAATACCTCACCCTGCCCTACTTCTGCCCCTTTCCCTCTGGCCCCCTCCCAGAACCCTTGTCCTCCTCACCTTTGCCTGGCCTAAACCCTGCCTGTACACCTCAGCACCACCTACCCTCTCCCTTCCGCCCCACCCCCCTACCCCCTCCCCAGCCACATCTTTCCTGAAGCAGGTGCATTTCATCGATTACTGTAGCCAAGTGACCAGGGGCTGGCTCCTCCCCAACCTCTGGATTTCCTCCTCTAGTCCTGTTCATGGTCTTTTGTCTGTCCTTCTGGTTTCGTCCATTTTTCCAGTCTGTGTTCTTTCCAGATGTTTTTGTGTTAAGACCCTATTTTGTTTTCTCTCTCCTGGACTTTCAATAAATATTTAAAGCCGAGGCAATGAAACTTCATGACTGTGGTTGACCTGCTTCTTCGTCTGGGCTCTCCCTCTCTCATTTGTTTAGCAGTTGTATATTAATCATTTACGGTGGGCAAGGCCTTGGACCCAGCTCTGGAGATCTTAAGACAGAAATGAAAAGTTCCTGCCCCTAACGGGCTTGTGTTCTATTATAGGTAAACTGCACACACATGAATAAACCCATTCCTCTTCCCGCTGATGTATTTTCCTTTTGCACATATATTTTCTGTTCACAATTCTGAGATGTTAGGGAGCAATACCAATCCCCCAACCTGAAATAATTGTAATCTCACTTATTCATATGCAAACTCTCTTTTGCATATGTAAGCTTGGGGAGGATTGCAAAGAAATGGTTTCTGCAGTAGAGTCATTTCCAGGCACCAAAACAGGAGGGACATTAGAACAGCTTTCTTATGAGGTTCAACAAATAGCAGTCACCCAGAGGATGGCAGTGCACATGAAGTCGGCATGGTTTGGGGAGATGGGCTTTTGTACATGGGGTAGAGAAGCAAGGATTTTACAGGCACTGCAGGTTGTGTCATGATGCTCAGAAAGGCACACAAATTGAAATATTGTGAAGTTTGGGGAAGATGCTGTAACACCTGTTAGTAAGAGCTTTGACTGTTGCAACACATATGAGGCCATAAAAGGGGGCAGGACCCCGAGGTAGATAAGGACCAGAGACAAGAAATTTTACAAAATGGAGTCACTTTGGTTAAGTTGCTACCTACACTGCCTCAGTCACTCTGAGCTGGTGTTTAGTGCTGGGAATACAATTACGGTGATAACAGAGTTCATCATAGGATAGATAGTGGCTAGAGCCAGCTTTGAATCTGGAAGAGCCAGGCCTTCTTTCTGCCTCTGACATGTATCTGCTATGTGTCCCTGGACAAGTCACATAACTTCACAGTGCCCCCAGGAAACTCTGAAGTCAATAAGTTTCTGATCTGCATTGGGAGAGGGAATTTCCTCACCCTTCCTCTCTTGTTCCTCCTTACTCCCTCCAAATACACTTTTATTTGGTGCTTTATGGTCATATTCTTTGATCATGACAAGTCTGTACCATAGTTAATACTGATAAAAGTATATCCCATTTCACAGATGAAGAAACCAAGCTTCAGGGGATGAACAGTAACTGGTTTGCCCAAAGTTACCCAAATGGTTAATGGCAGACCAAGATTCCAAGATCTGTCAGATTCCAAGTTCAGGGTTTTCTCAGCCCTCCCCTGCTTTGCCTCGTGATTCAGGTTACATGATCAACGAGAACACAGTTCAGTAGGCGAGAATTAGGTTTAACTTCAGAAATAGTTTTGAACTTTGAGATACTTGAGAGACTGATGTAAAAATCTAGATTGTAAGGATCTGGTAATTAGAAAGACAGTACCTAACATTTTGGCAGCTAAGTGGCACCACAGTTCATAGAATGTGGGGCCTGGAGTCAGAAAAACTCATATCCCCGAGTTCAAATTTGGCATCAGATACTTATTAGCTGTGTGACCCTGGGCAAGTCACTTAACCCATTGGCCTCATTTTTTCATCTGAAAAATGGGCTGGGGATGGAAATGGCAAACCACTGCAGTATCTTTGCCAAGAAAACCCCAAATGGGGACACAAAGAGTCAGATACAACTGAAAAGTGACTGAACACATTACATTTTTACATGAGCTTGGACAGTTTTTGCCAAGCAACCCTATGTTGGCTCCTGCTGATGAAAAGAGAAGAGAATTCTTTGTGGATATGGGGAACTATGAGTGTTTAATACTGCCTCTGCTGTAGGACTTGGTTGATGTATTGATTTGTTTTGATGCACTATGTTTTTTTCTCTTTCTTCTTTTATTCCTTGTTAAGAGAGCTGTCCCCTGGGTGGGAGAACGAAACAAAAGATATCAAAGAAAAGAGGATCCTTCTGAAGCTAGAGTGGAAAGAAGACTAGGTGGGGAGTCAGGAGGTCAGACTTCTGGCTCTGGCTCTGGTCATCACATGACTCCTCCCTGGACCTCTGCCAGCACACCTCTAAAATGTATCTGACAACCTTCATCTTGCAAACATAACTAGCATGTGGCATTGTGGAGGACAGGCTACTGCTTATTCCTCAATCCTCCTTCCCAACTGACTGGGAAAAGACCAAATCCTCTGAGACCTTCTCTCTCTCCACCCCTGGGGCTTGGCTTTAGATGGAGTTTCCCCTTTGGCTAATGTCCTCTTCTTCCTTTAATCCCTCCACCCCCAGTCTCTCACATCAAAGGAGAAGAGTGCTTAGCCTCAGGCTCCCATACTCACTGCAAAAAAAAAAAAAATCAAATCCCCAAACTAGATTAGTCCAGAAACAAAAACAATGGCCCAGATCCGTGGGCATTCTTTCGTTAGTTGAGTTTACCAAAAATTGATTATTAATGCTAGTTATTAATAAAATTGTAATCACTCAGGCCTACTAGCTGAAGAAGAAATTCCCTAAGAACTGGCCAGAGACTAGAATCTCTGTCCTGTCTTCAATATTGTCCAAATTGCAGTTAGCCACACTTTCCCTTAATCCAGGGGTGGGGAACCTGCAGCCTCAAGATCACATGTGGCCTTCTAGGTCCTTGGTTGGGGCCTTTTGACTGAATCCAAGTTTTACAGAACAAATCCTTTTATTAAGGGTATTTGGTTTTTGAGGTTTGGATTCAGTCAAAGGACCACACTTGAGGACCTAGAGGGCCACAGGTTCCCCACCCCTGCTTTAACCCCCCTTCTCTGCCCCAACAAAATACAAATACACACACAGGTTTCATGGTCAACCATCCAAAAATGGAGTCAGGAAAAAATGAATGAGTTAAAATATAATGAAGACAGGGACAGCTAGGTAGACACTTGACACTTACTAGCTGTGTGACCCTGGGCAAGTCACTTAACCCCAATTGCCTAAAAAAATCTATATCTATCTATCTATCCACAAATATACACATATATATATATATACACACACATATACATACATATATACACATATACGTACATATATAAATATACGTACACACACACACACACACACACATATATATATATATATATATATATATATATATGTGTATGTATGTATATGTATGTATATATGAAATGAAGACGTCAGAAGCAGGCACCAGGCAAATAAATGTCCAGCTATGGAAGTAAGGAGGGAATTAGAGACAGAAAAACCTTTCACTGCTTTTCTTCAGTTTTTAAAAAGATGTTCATTTCAATACTACCTAAATTAACTTATTTTTTCAGTACCCTAACCAAACAATCAAAGATTTGCTTTGTAGAATGAGAGAAAAATAATAATGAAATTCATTTGAACCAACAAAAGGTCAAGAATCTCCAAGGAAATAATGAAAGTGAGTAGGAAGGGGGCCCAGAAATATCCAACTATGCTGCAAAGCAGTAATCATCAAAACAATTTGGTACTGGCTAAAATAAAGAGATTAGATCTACAACATACAAAAGCAAAGGACCTAGTAGCCTAGTATTTGATAAACCCAAAGACCCCAGCTATTGAGATGAGGACATTATTTGACAAACTACTGAGAAAACCAGGCAGCAGTCTAGTGAAAATTAGGCTTAGAACAAAACTTGATATTATATACCAAGATAAGCCTCAAATGGGCTCATAACTGAAATATAAAATATCACGCCATGAATTAGAGGGAGGAAGAGATTATCAAAGAGTTAATGACCAAGCAAGAGATAGAAGATCACAGAGATTTTACACAAATAAATCAAACGCAACTATGATTAGGAGGGAAATAGTCAACTGGGAAAAAAATCTTTGCATCAAGTTTCTCTGATAAATAGGTCTTATTTCTAAGTTACATAAGGAAAGGATTCAAATGTATAAAAGTAAGCTGTTCTAGGTGGTGCCAAGATAGCAGAGTAGTACCAAGAATTAGTTACAGCTAAGCTATACTACACACCTCCTCCACACAGATCTGAAAATGCCCCAGACCAAATACTGATCAGAAAATACAAAAAAAAATAAGTCACAGTAAGTCGTTTTCAAGCCCAAATCAGCATCAGATAGACAAAGAAGTCTGCTTACAGTAAGAACAGTATCTAACCAGGAACAGCAGCACAGAGCATTTCTGTACAGGAGCTCAAAGAGGACCAAGGCTGTGTGCCAAGGAAAGAAAGGTCCTAGAGTCAGCACAGAAGTGTCTGATCTTGTGAATGATACAAGAATGGTATCAATGAGTGGCTGTGTTTCTCATTCTGCAGTTCTGGGGCACTGGCTACCCCAGATCCAGGGTGGACTGAGAAAAGGACCAATGCCTTGGGGTAGTAACTGCAAACATTAGGCTATGCACTGAGTAAAGAGAAAGCTCAAAAGCAAGTAGCTGCTGTGTGACTCTGAATTTAGGAGCCAAATGGGGTCTCAATTCCATATTCCACTCTGATCTGAAGCCTTCAGCAAGTTTAATCATGGTGGGAATCCCAGACCAAAAATAGTTCTGTTACTTTAAATCTGCAGAGATTTCTAGCTGGCTGATGGTAGCTGAATTTAGCAATATCTACTGGAACTCTAACAGGCAGGGCCACAACAGATGTGTTGCTCAGACACAAACCCAAGTCAAGAACTTGAGTTCAAACCAGAATGGCAGCAATCAGACTTTGCCCTGAATTAGACCATCATGGGAAGATTGAAAGCTTGCAGTCCCCCAGCCTCAGGTGTCCCTAAAATTCTGAAATAACACAACACTTAATACCTCAAGAAAGCAGCAGGACCTTCCACTCAGACATTCCCTCCTGATGTGCACAGAGCCCAATTCTATCATAACGTCCAAAGTCAAGAAGGAGGCTGGTGGAATGAGTAACAAACAAATAAAAAAATTTCACCAAGCTATTATGATGTCAGGATCACTCAAGACACAAACCTTAAAGAAGAGAATGACTCCAAAACATCTAGAAGCAAAACCTCAAAGAAAAACACAAATTTGGATAAAGTTCAACTAAAATTCCTAGAAGAGGTGAAGCAAGAGT